ATATCCACTTGACCCTGCTCTTGCGGCGCTCTTGGAGTCGGTGGAGAGTCCTGAAGGTGGGGCTGGGCATATTTGAGGCACCGCTAATTTCTGCAAGTACGTCTTCGGGATTTGCTGCTTCGGGCAAGTCATGTACCGCGAACCTGGGCTTACGCATTTTTGGCCTGCTGATGTCCGCAGGGATTTCTGTCTGCTTGATCTGCTGTTCAAGGGCTGCGACATCTTCTTTGGATTTGCAGACTACTTCAAAGCCGCCTTTGTTGCTCTTTGTTACTCTTTCAACGCCGACTTTTAACTTGGAGAGAGGCAATTTGGCGTTGAGCTGTTCTTTTAGCTCTGCGTCTGTAATGTCTGTTTTTGGGCGTATGTACAGGCACGGTTTTTTTAGTTTTCCGGCAGCAATCTCTCGCAAATGTCGGATATGTGATTGCTGGTGGTGGTGTTGGAGTATGGGGATCGTGTGGCTGCTGAGCAGTTGACGCTAGTTGCTGTGTATGAGAAATTTCGCAGCAGAACACTGTTGAAGTGTTTACTCCTGTGTCAACTTTTGCAAGGTTTAACCGTGAATTCCGGACCCTCTAGGGCCAGCGTTTGGAGTGCAGCCAGTGAATCTAGTAGGCGCCCTCGAAGATCTGTTGACAGAAGGAATTTGGCGCCTCGATTTGTCGTAGTCGCTACCTGCCTGATATCCTTGTATAGGATGGTGACTTTCTCCACGTGGGTCAGGTCCGATGTAAGTACTGCTGAGGCGTCTATTATGGTATGCGATGTAGAGGTGGAATCACTATCAGCTGGAATAACTGAAGCACGAGACATGATATTCCGTGTAATACTGTGCGCACTATTTGGTGTGCTGAGGCTAAATCGCTAATAGTGGTGAGTTGAACTTGGGGTGATGATCTAAGATAAATTTAATGTTGCACTCTAAAATTGTCACTGAAAGGTAATAGTAGTGGCACGTAATATGAGCTCACTGTAGCTGCATTATTTACATTTAACAGAATGACCTTTTAGAAACGTGTGAACAGCCGTATGGTGAATACACTTTCAGAAGAGTCCGATAAATATTACAATTAATGCAATTACAATATAATATTTTAGCACATTATAATGCAAATAAGGATCTTAGGAGGGTTCCATATTATACTGCATTCAAATGAGAAAACACAAGATCAAACAAAATAAATGTAATAATTAATACAAATTAATAAACAGAACCAGATAATAATTATCGAAAAACACACTAGAGGCACTTATAACCAATAAATGTTAGTTAAAAAGGTTGATTAAGCAATCAGAAATAACTAAAAGCTAAAAATTAATACAAAATTAAACAATTGTCAAACCGTAAGGACGGACCCTGTGCTGCTTTTGCAAGAAAATAAAACAGGGTATGTTGGCAAGAAAATTTACAATACAGTAGGCAGTAAATAATCAGAACATGGAATAACACTGATACATGAAAAACATTTAAATAAATTAAACAAGCATTAAATTCTATGAAAAAAAAAAAAAAAAAAAAAAAAAAAACTTTTTAGATGGTTGTTCTAGGGCGTATGAGGTCAAAGTTATTGATTTTTACAAAAATAAGTAAAATTTACACTTGGTATTAAAATACCTTGAACATATAATGTTAACAGTGCATGTAATTAAAGATACCCAAATGCAAAAAATAATTTGAAATAAACATAAATGCAATAAACAGAAAGAAAAACTATTAGACAGTTAAAAACATCTTTAGAGCAGTTCGCTAAGGTAATTAAGGGCCAAGTTATTGAATTTTAACAAAATAAGCAAAATATTAACTGAGAGAGACGCTAGAATGGTCGAAGAATATTCTAAGTCCTGATATCAAATGTTGAAAAAATTCAGTTACAGGCTATTGCGGTATATTAATGGAAGGAGAATAACAGTCCTACCTTAGTCTTCTTCAGATGGAGTGGCTATGTCGAGTAGATCGCGAGATTTTGAATTTTGAAAAAATAAGCACTTTTGGGCACTACAGTTACACTGAAAACTTAGGCCTACCCCGGTCGCCACGTGGTAGATCGTCGGCACGTTTTCGTCGATGTGACCGTTATGCTGGTAAGCACAAACACCGTTGAAGTGCGGCGGACGGATTCCTTTGTAATTTTCACAAAAACTTTTATAACTTCGCTAATTTTTGTCGCACACACAAAATTTAGGTATCCACATGTAGGTTAACACTTCGCACACAATTTGGAATAAAAATTTCTTCTGTGGGGTAGATATTTCTGCGGTTAATAATGCTTTTTAAGGGAGCTCAGCTGACACACATCCTACCTTGCAGGGGGGCGTTTGAGTTTTGCAAAAAATCGTCAGAAGAATCTTGGGCACGCAGTTTACATAACTTTCTCAAATGATTATTGATGTACAGTAAATCCTTATCGAACGCGGTCTTGTGGAACGCTATTTTGTAAATATGTGTTTAATTTATCCAATACGAAAATTTCAATTATACGCGGTACACTGCACAGCGTCGGCAGCAATACGATAATCCGCATTAATGACTGGTTTAGGAACACATTCATTAAAGAAGTCAAACATAAGAGCAAAACCTAAGCTTTAAAGTTCTCCTAATTCGTGATAATGCTTCAGAACATGGTATTGAAGCTCTGATAATATTGAATCCAAATGCAGAGGTTTTATTCCTTCCACCGAAGACCACTTCCTTAATCCAACGAATCATAACAACATTAAAAGCGTATTATATCAGACATGTTTTTATGGGATTTGAACGAAAGTTTCCCGCCACCGTAAATATCTTCTGCGCAAACAATTCGCATTGACGTGTTTAATCAAATTTTGTCAAACGAGTTTTGGCATTTGAAAGAAAGACTTGCTTTAGAACATGTATTATGAAATTTATAAAAAAATATCGTTATCATTAAGTACAAAGTGTCTGAAATGGAACTATTAGACTACCAGATTAGAACCATCATTTCCTTCCAGTTCTGTTGCAAAAAATCAGCTATAGAATGTCACGAAATCATGTGTACAGCTTTAGGTACTAATGTTCTATCATAAGGCACTGTGAAGGTTTGGTACCAAAAGTTCAAAAACAAGGACTATGACATTAAAGAAGCAGAGCGCTCTGGCCGGTCTACTGATGTTGATGAGGCCCACCTGCGAGAACTTGTGGAAGAAGAACAGCATGCAACCATTCGAGAGCTTGCTAAGGAGTTAGACGTTAGTGCCATGTCTATTAATCGCGCTACGCATCGCATAGACTTAACGTACAAGTTCAGATGCTGGGTGCCGCATGAGCTGACTCAAGCAGATAAAGACAGACACATTCGGGACAGACACACCTGCACTAATCTGTTCGAATATCAACACACGGACAAAATTCTGGACAGGATCGTGATGAAAAGGGAATTTACTTCAGACCGAAAATGGAGTTGTTTTGCGCCCGGTATGCCCGTCGGCAGCGTCGCAAAGCGCAGTTTGACTAACAAAAAGATCATGCTCTGTATCTCGTGGGATTGCCGTGGTATTATCCACAAAGACTATATAGAAACCCTAAACTCATCTAAAGGTACCCTCGATAGTAAGGTGCACAGCGAGATGCTAGTCCGTGTTGATGCTGCTGTCAATGATAAACGTCAAACTGAGTTTCGGCGCAAAAAGGTAATGTTCAAGATAATGCAAGGCGACGTGTGTCTGCATTCACCGGCTGAACTCTGTACGGACTCGAATGGGATCTTTTACCACGCAAAAATTGGACTTCTGTACCTTTTTTCACACCCATATCTTGTTAGTGCTATCTTCCGTTCTGCACATGACGCCCGAAATGAGATTGATCTGTTCCTGAACTCGCGGCAACCAAGTTTCTGGGCTAAAGGCTTTGAAAACCAACTTGGAAGAAAATTATAGATTTGGGTGGTGATTACTACCCGCACTAAAGTTACTACTTTCATGTTTTTTTTTTCCTAACTTTATTAAGAATATTTTTTGGCGGAAAACTTTCGTTACAACCAGAAATCTCGGCAAATAAAGCGCTAGACAAAGGAGAGCATGATACACTAATGGCATTATTTTAGAAGCAATTCAATATCACTGCATAGAAATGACTAAACTCGTAGAAAATAAGTTAATTCGTCAACAATGAATACTTGATAGCATCAGCGCTGGCCAGATGTCTACAACTTTAAAGGATTTGTATCGATTGAAAATGAAGCCAAGGAAAATATATAAATTATAAAATCAATGGACGTCAAAGAATTGTCAGATATGGAAGAAGGAAAAACTAAAGAATTAGTCGAGAATGACGATAGTGAAGTGAAAAATTAAGACTTGGATTATCTTAGAATACCAGCCGATGGAAAAAGCAGCGATAGTGAAGAAGATAAAGAGCATTTAACGTTCAAGAAGTTAAACGACTTGTTAAGAAATGTCTTATTTTGTAATGCAGAAAGAAGAGAACACTGAAAACTTTTGGTAAATGAAATGCTACATTTAGTATATTTAATTAAATTTTTTAAATAAACCTTTATTTTATAATGCTGAATGCGATCATTGCTTTAAAATAACCATTTCATTTATTACTTTTCGATAAATTGCTAAAGTTAGTATTTACATAAAATACGGTGAAAGTTTGAATGGAATAGTTGTATTTTAAAAGCTAAGTAATTTAAATACAAACTATGATATAAGAATTAATATATATATGGCGAACAACAAACGTAAATAATTTCGCATTGAAAAATGACTGAAGGTGATAAAAACTTTTGAGATCTACAAAAGTGGTTCATTTGCGCGGATAAAATTTATTAATTTATACATTATTAAACTTCTTTTTAATTTAAAGCATTCAAAAGTTTCCATTTGAAAACAATTTTTAAGAGCAAGTGCAATAGACCGGTTTAGTAGGTAATTATTTCATGTTGTTTTTTAGTTTTATCTCAACGAACATGTATATTAACCCAGTACATATTAGTGTAAAAATGCCAGATTTGTACATTTTTTGCACATTATAGGGACCAGCTGGGGAACCTGGACCATCAGGAGATATAGGACCTTCCGGTATTCCTGTAAGTACCTGTTGTAATGTGAAGTTTTAAATGTGAAGTTTTGTTTTAATAAAATATTTTGCTTTTGCGTTTCGTCATTAATTACTTCTTGATGTCCGTTACCTTTTTTTTGAAGTGCTAGGGACAAATACTTTGAGTGAGATTATTATTTATACATATAAAGCATTCTGACATTAATTAATTTTATGCTTTCTGCCGATAATTAAATAAATGCCGTCAATTATGAAATGTATTCATAAAATAAGTTAATAACTTATAGGTTTCAAACACTGAAACTCTAAGTTCTTTCATTTATTATTTTGGAAATCTATTTGATGGAAGTTTCGCATACTGTTCGCATTTTATAACAATTTTCTTTTAACTGCGTCGTTAACTTTTGTTATTATGAAAAGGGAAACAGTTATTTGCCGTATCTCTTATGCATATGTAAAATATGCACATATAAACTACACATATAAAATATGCACATATATAATATAATGCATATATAAAATATGGTGAGTTGCCAGCTTTAAACATTTGTATGAGACATGCTTTTATAGTCGTAAGTTTTTTAATTTCTTATTACTTGTGCTTCTGATTTGTTCATTTAATTACTCCTTTGATTTGCCTTGAGTAAATCCATAACGCGATAATCATTGAATTTCGTAAAATTTAACAAGGATGGATCAATTATTTTATAGCAACCAAAAATTAAGTTTCCATTCTATAAAAAAGTGACAAAGTTAATTATAATGCTCCAGGTAAAGTTCGAAAATCTTATATATCCAGCAAGCCAACAAAGCACACACCGCCTAATACCTGGTTTTAACTTAAGAAGCAGATTCATTGCATAGAAGTAGGAATAATTTAATAAATTATCGTAATTAAACAAAGGGAAAAGGAACTATAACACCCTAAATTTGATAGGATTTGCTATATAGTCATGAAGCTTAAAAATAGCACAAAAAAGTGAAAAATGTTTTATTCTCCCGAACAGAAAAATACGTTACACAGCTAAAACTTATGGAAATGATTTCTATTAATGATATTTAAATTCAGTTTTTTTTCGATGAATATTTGAACTCATAAATTCGTTTTTTTATACTAATTTGCTTCATGTTCTCCAATGACTTATCAGTGGAAATATTCTTAGAGTTTTTTTTTTAATTTACCAGTAACTATTTGGACAGTTAAGAAATTATGATTTAGTCCTTTTATGTATACATTATCTTCTGTAACTTTTGTACATTATGCAAGTTGTTTTATGCAGTATTTTTATGGTATGTTATATTTTGAAGGGAATTATTCTAATATTTGATCTAAGCTTCATTTGTAATCAATATTTAATTAGTCTATGCGCTAGTGCATTTTAAACAATGACTTTTAACCAATGATTTTAAATTACTATAAATGGGTTACGTTATTCGTCATATAATGAATTAAATTACATTAAAAATTTTGACAGTTTGTGCATATTCAAGGAGATTTCTGAGTGATTGATTCAACACTTTTATAGTAAATTTAAACGAATTAATAAACAGTTTTTTGGCTTGTCATATTTATTTATACAACAGTTTAGTAGCTGTAGCAGTTAATAAGAAAACTTTTTTCATAACTCCCGCTGATAAATGAATATAACTGAGTTTGTGCTTTAAACATGCTATCCGTGCAGAATTTTCTGATATGTAATTTCATCCATCTTTTAATGTGTTACTTATTATTAATATAAAATATAATCAATGATTATTTTTCAGGGTGTACCCGGCGAACCCGGATTACCTGGACCTGCTGGCAAAGAAGGACCTCCTGTAAGTAACGTTTTAAATTTTATTAGACACAATTTTTACTGTTAACAACTGAACATTTAATGAATATTAGCTTCAGCAGTTATATTAATTTTAATTTCGCTAAGTTACATAAATTTCCTCCTTTTTTTTGTTTTCTTTTCTTTATTTAGATTTTTGATTTTAATTTGTTTATTGAAAATCAAGTTTTGAATTTCATGATGCAACATAGCCAGAAACTCTGATAGTATTAAAAGCCATGATTTTTATCATGAAATTTACATTTTGGTATTAATTTTAAATATATATGAGATATAAATGTAAATTTTAATTTCATAAAGGTATATAAAATATCTAAAATTTATATCAGTAATTTTTATTATTTAAAAATATAATGATAATTGCAATTTAAAAAACTTAATGGTTTCGCTTTGTATTGACTTAATGGCATTTTTTATTCTTTTACACAGTTACAGCATTATTTTATTTATGATCGCAGAAAGCTGTGTTCAAATATATTAAAGAAACTAAATAATTTCTTGGGAAAAGATAATAACGTATGGAATTTATTCTAGGGTCCTCCAGGTCCAGTAGGAGAAAAGGGGCCAGCTGGTACTGTAGGACCACCTGGATTTCCTGGAGACAGAGGATTACCGGGACCTGCCGTAAGTTAAAAAATAATTGTGGTTCCTGGTTAAATTATGGTTAAAAAATAATTATGGTTATAATCATCAAGGTATAAATTCAAATTCTCAAATGTTCATTATAAGTGCGTTTTCTTTATGTATAATAGTGTTAATTAAATTAAGATATTTGAATATTGATAAAAATATTAAATTATGCCTTTTTATTCTAGGGTCCACCAGGATCAAAAGGCGATGTAGGATTACCCGGAGCTCCAGGGCCATCGGTATTATACATTTGTTTCCTTTTTAAATATACCTTCTTCCTCAGATTTGTGAATCATGCATCTGATTTTTATAATAACGTACTGTAATGAATTTACTAAGCACCAAAAATGCACTGAGCATTTCAGAACTCTGTAAAAGATTGAAATTTGCATGTCTAAGATTGAATTTTGCATGTCTGCTATAGAAGTTGCTACACAGTCAGCAACTTCTGTAGCTACAAAAGACTCAATGAAACTTTCTTTATGAGAAGCTAAAATTTTACTTTCTGTTCCAAAATGTTGGCCCTACATGATCGAGACAATTGAGAAGACTTACATGAACTTGAATATCTCCATCATCCTATTCATTAATTACTAACAAATTTATCTTCATGCAAAGTGTTATCTATAGTAAAACCTTGTTAACACGAATTTCAAGGGACCGAAAAATTAAGACACCTTTTTGCTTTTAGATAATTTGACACTTTTAATTGTGTATCATCAGTTATAAAAATTGATCCGAAGTTTTCAAATATAAACTTGCTATGAAAACATTTGTTAAAATGTTCTAAAAAATATTATTGTTATGTAGAAAGTAGTTGTTTTCAGCTTTTAAATTTCAGCAAAATCTAGAACATCGAAACTTGAGAAATGTTTTACACTTACGAACACATTGCTGCGTAATTATCATAAATGAAAGTTAAAGACTTATATTTGCGATGTAAAGTCATATATGTGTGTGCATATGGTAATCGAAAATAAAGACGTATAAATGACAATCGAAAAATAAAGCTTCTATGTGGCTTAGAAATAAGATAAATTTAGAAAGTACTTAAGTATAACATTTATTTCACAGTTTCTGACAAATTATTTAAGTATAATAAATATATATCTGAGTTTCAGGTTTTTTTTTTATAGTAACAGTTCCTTTTATTTAAAGTAATAAAAAGTTATATTTTAAATAAAAATTACAAAAGTTGTATGTTCTTTTAAAATATTCTCCAGAAATTTGAATAATATTTAATATTTGCAGGGAGAGAAAGGTGCTATGGGATTACCAGGTGATCCAGGCCCACCAGGTGATAAGGTACATGATAATTATCTGCAATTTGATATCGCGTATCATTTCAAATGTTATTCAATAGCTGCCTTCAATACCACATAATGATTTTGTTTCATTATAGGGACGCGATGGACCACCAGGGCCACCAGGACCATCAGGTCCTAAAGGAGATAAGGTAAAAAAGGCGAATTTTTGGAAAATTAGTAATTATATTTTATTGGTATAATTATTAACTCAGGATTTTTTTTAATCTTAGGGTGATGCAGGATTACCTGGCTTGATGGGAAGAGATGGTACACCTGGAAACAGAGTATGATTTTAAATTTTGTATATTTAAATTATTAGGCTTCCAAAATATATCAGACATCTCTTTAATAAAATATTTTCTTTTTTGTAAAATATATTAGGTTTTTAATCAGCTATTTTATGCATTTAAAAAATCAAGGGACATTCAGCTTAAATTTGCGTGTTACCATATTTTTTTCTGATTGTAAGAAGTCTTTATTTGTAAAAGCATCCTTTAATTTCAAAATCACCAACAAAATAAAAAGTCTTTTTCTAAAAGATTAGAGAACTAAAATAAAACGCTACTCAATCAACTAAAAATAATTTTATTTAAATAGAATTCAATTTACTAATAATTATAATACCAATTTACCAGCAGGTATGCAAGTATGCTATTCATAACTTCCTTCAGAGTCAATCAGAACCTGATTCTTTGGAGATCTTATCTTAATTAATATCATAATTCATTTTGTATTAAGAATGTTTCCCAAGCCAGCTTTACTTTAGTTATTCCATTAAATGTTTTATTATGAACCATCTAATGTGCTTGGTGACCCAATAACTGTTTAGTAGAAGTTACAATACTCTTTCTGGGAATTACAAGTGACATGTCCAAAACAAGCTGTTGTTATCCATTTTGCCAGTTTAGATGCCGAAACCTTCTCCGTAGTTCCAAAATGTGTATTGTTAGTCAATGACCAGGATTCATAGCCTTTCTTCAGTGGTTCAATAAATATCGAGCAGCCGCAATTAATCATACATCAGCAGTCACTACGTTCTTGAACAGTATGTGTGGAAGCCTAGTTAACTGTTTTCCTAGAGGCTGTGAAATGACTCAACCAGCCTTAGTAAAAACAGCTGTAACTTAGAAATATGTTTAAATAAACCTTTTTATTAAACGTGAACTCAACACAAATGCACAGCTAATTTACATAAGAGGTTGAGGTAAATTTAAAATATTTTACGCTTGAGTTCATAAAGATGATTTCTATCTATTCATATTTCTATCGAGCTTTACCTCAGGAATATAAATTTTCAAACGTTTGACTCAGGATTCTAAATGAGATTAAAGCTAGCGAAACTAGCTAGCGAAAGATTAAAACTGGCTAAACAATTCTATGAGCTGGGCGAAAACTTTCACAAGGTCAGGGGCAATGACAAAGTTCACTTTCTTACTTCAAGAACTCCATTCTTATATATTTGTTAAGTGATTTGTATACTACTGCGAGATGACGAAAAAATAAATGACCGTACAAGATAAAATAGTTAGATGAGAGTTAATTAACATAAAACCTTACAAGTTTACTTTGTTTTATTTGGGCAAATTCTCAGAAGTTACATCAAATACTAGTTGGTTGCATGGGATTACGAAGATTTTTAGATTATCTTTGCAACATAATATTTAGCTAGTCTTTTACAAGATAATTACTAGCTAACATATTTCAAATCGGAAACGGCATCGATATCGTAAAGGGCATCTCGTTCTTGCAGATGTTTATAAACTTAAAAAATTGCCTTTTAATATCGAAGTAATAGTATATTAGTTGCATATTTGTCTGAGTGTCACAATTATGGAGCATTCGTTTATTTGTTTAATATTCTTTAATCTCTTTTATTCAGGGTCTTCCGGGACCACCAGGACCAGCAGGTCCTGCAGGAGAGGATGGTGACAAAGTAATACTTTATTATGATATAATTATTAAATTTATTTATGAATTTTTCAGTAATAATAATTATCTTTGTTTAATCGCTAAATGTTTGCATAGTAATTATTAAACTTGTTTTGAATTTTCGTACTAATATTACTTTCCACTTGCTGATACAATTTTTATCTGATGAATTTTATTTGTGCGTAACTAAGAGAAAGAAAACTATTACTTCGTTTATAAATTTAGCAGTTATTTTCTTTTTTTATTATAATGTATGTAAAATAAATTATGCGGCAAAGAGTATGTTTCAGGCAGTAGATTTAAGTAATCTTATTCTATATAAATCTTATTTTCAGTAATGGTTTTCAGAAATCAGTCTGTAACCTTTTAACCACTTCACCGCCTTCCAAAAACTCTTATTTGCTCATTCTTCTTTCCTCTCCAAAGATAAATTTGTTGTGTCTCAAATTGGTCTTAAAAATGCTTCTTTCCCGTTTTCACTAGCTGTCAAGACCTATTTAGAAAACTGCGAATAGACAAATATTGTCTCCATGCCCAGGGGAAAAATTCTTTCGTATTCTTTAGGCTCTTATCTGAAAATTAACAAAGACAATATTCTAAAGGTACGTTTTCAAATCAGCAGTAGCTACATTGCAATGCCAGCTGAAAAAGAGCCGAAAGTGCATTTCTATTTGCCATATTTTTAGAACTCTTTTCTATGATCATCATACAACTGTGGGAGGGAACGTGGCCAATTAGGCCATTATTTACCTCTTTTCATTTTCGCTGCATTCTGCGCGGTTGGGAAACACGAAGCGATAAGTGCCTGTCGGGAGTAACGGTCAAGGCCACATTTAACCCCGACGAGTGTGTGCCGTTACTGACACTGAAGACATTTTTAAAATCGTCGAATCTGTCTCGAGAGAATCAGCAAAGTACTTAATATCAAGTGTATAATATAATTATTATTCACTTGCGGAAATGCAAGTTATTTTATTAAGAAACGCCAGTTCATGCTGTTCGCGAAGCGAATAGCAAAATTAAAAACTTTTGGCATCCCTTCGGAATGCAGAGTATGTTTTCTTTCAGAGCAATAACGTATATCCACATTATAACGATCTGCATCTTTCAGTCGTTCAAAATACAGCTATAAACTGGTTACTTTATTTCATTTACTTCTTATATTTGATTTAGAATTTTTAGATTAATGCGAAAATGAAAGGTATGGAAAAAAAAGTGAACCATAATCATGAAAATAAAATGAAAATTTCAAGTGGCTAAAATTTATTTGTCATACAACTTAAATACTTACTCTTTATTAAAATTCTTATTTATATTATCTTAATTTCCACTGGATATTTAAGAACTCTCTACTAAAAATGCTGTAGTATATAGAAATTATTATTAATTGAATATAAAACAGCTATTATTATTTGACGGATTCCTGAAAATAAATATAAGAACAAACATAACTGCATATAAAAAGATATACATATGTATAATATCGTTAAGTAAGCAGCTGTGCAGGAGATTTTATTTTAAACCTGTTTTTAAAAATTAAAATTTTTAGCTTGTTATCTAAAATATAATAGAAATTTTGATTTGCGTTTTTTTTTAGTAATGAGAACACAAAAATTATTTTAAACTTTTAAAATGTTAATAACCATATGATATTGAATATTTCTCTCTTTGAAAACTTCAGTTTAATCCACATCGAGAAAAATGGGAAATCTAGAATTTGCAAAAATGATGTAATCACAACTGTGAATTATTTAAATATTACACTTTTTAAATAGTGTCGTAAAGAGTAATGCGATTTGCAGTTTTGCAGCTGAAGAAGCAGGTTCTATATTTAAACCTCCAGAACTAGTCCTGAAAATTTATGAATATTACGCTGCTTCTTGTTGCTTTAACTTCTCCAACAAGTTAATATTGTTGTTAATAGTTATGAATTTTAATATTGACATAATATGAGGTACAGATAAAAACTGATATTTGCAACTGTAAAATATCTTGCATGTGATTGAGAATGTAGCTATTATAACACAAATTAATTGTTTCATAGACATAACAGACATGTAATTCATATCGGTGCCAATACACGTAACAGATTTTTTGTCGTAGTATAATTATGTTCGCTCGAGCTTTCTACTTAAAGATTATAACCTTTCCTTCGTTAATTATGATTTTTTATCGTTAACTATAGTAACATGTATCCATGTTTTGTATAAGCAACGGAAAATGAGCTAATGTAGCAGATGAATTTATTGAAGGAAGTTTTACTTATAATTTATTTATTTGATATAAATGTACGTTAGATATGAAAGTCTTATTATACTATTGTTTATGTACGTAGGGTGATACGGGCCCACCTGGACAGAAGGGTCTAAAAGGAGCCAAAGGAGATATTGTAAGTATTTACTTAAACATTCTGTGATTTTTATTTTATTTATTTTCATTTTAAACACTTTAAAACTGACTAGGAGATTAACTGAGTATACAAAATTTACTATATGTTTAAACTAAGCACACAAATTTGCATTTAATTAATCCCGAATACTTTAAGTTGTATTTTTCAATCCGAATATCCATAAATTATTCATCTGTTAAATCTTATAAAAATATAGTTATGCAAAATTGTAAAAATATGCGGTAGTTAATTTAGATTTAATAAATGTAATATCCTTTAATTTGGGAGTTTGAAAAAGTAACTTTTTTCCTTTATGCTTTTAAATTTATTTATTTTTTTATTCTATATGTATAATTGTGGATTTTAGAAGAAGTATGAGACTGCAATAATGTTCTCAAAATCGGGTATAGGTATTGATGATCTTTATAATTTTAATGATAGAAATAAAAAGACAGAATTATAAACATCATTACATGACACTCATTTCGTACAAGAATTAATGTGAAGTTAATAATGATAAGTTTTTAAAAATTATCTCTATTAGTAGTGGTTAACAAAAGATTGTTATTTAAAATTTAGAAATAACACAGCGCAGACACAGAGGTAATTTAAAAAATACAAAATGGAATTTAAAAGCCCATAAAATTTAAAATAAACATTTAAGAACGCACTAAGAGAAAGAAATAGCATAAATAGAATTAAATTCCGAAAAATATTCCATTAAAATCAAAAACATTTCAAAATTGGCAACCAATCAGTAAGGTTTGAATTATCCTCCTAGCATCAGAGTTATCTACCGAAAATGTTTCTCAATAAAGATGAACGATTTTTCGGTTATAAGTTCGGCATCACACGCTGCACAATTAGGACTGAAAATGTATCCAAATGTGTTATTGTTGTAACTTATATCGCTTGTTAGTATAAACACACTTCTTAGTGAGGAACACGGGATTGCGTCTGTCATTGGCATGAGCTTTCGGCACGTTATAGATAACAGCAAGACTTGCTCGGTTCCGTCCAAATTTTGTGACAGGGAGACGGGCCCAGAAGTCTATCTTCCTTCGTCTCCTATATCAAGTCCATTTATAGGATTTCTAGTTCACTGTGTATTTTAAGTGTCCTCTCAGGGCTTCACCAGGTTTCGAGCTCGGGCCCAATGATGCAGTTGTCAGTAACGCTACTATAATGATCAGGACGACGAATCCGAATTTGTATAAATAAATTACTGATTGGTACAATGGTTTATCATTTGATTAACGGGAATATTTTTTTTCACTTTCAGGGTCCCGTTGGATCACCAGGACCTCAGGGATTAAGAGGAGATCCAGGTCCAGCAGTAAGCGCATTTTTGTGATATTTTCAATTAATCATACTTCCTGATCTGTATGTAATAACCTTAGAGTAATATTTTTCAGTGAAAAGAGAATGCAATATTTATAAAAAATACTTTTTTTTATTTTAGGGTCCTGAAGGTGAAAGAGGTATGACAGGTCCACAAGGCTCAAGAGGTCCGAAGGTAACTTAAAATTTAGGAAAATTTATCCTAAGATTGACACTGGCAAGAAATTTTAAGTTTCTATAAAGCAAATGTCAATCTCAGATAGACTTTTTATTTTTAAATTCCAAACGTGTTGTTTTCTCGCCTATACGATTTAGGAAATAAAATTTAGGTGTTTATTTTAATAATCATAAGAAAACAGTTAAAAATATCCTGCACTATTCTATAAGAACTTCATAATAGCTATTTTCTTCTCTTCTGCTTTAAAATGTTCTTTAATTTAATTATCTAATCCAGTCTTCTTTTTAAATGAACATGAAAGCTGAAATAAAATAAATATTTCTTTTGGATCGAAGGAAAGAATATAGATTTTAAGATTCTATTCTAGCACTTATTCTTCTTATTATTATAATTCAGTTTCTTGAATGCCAGTCAAAGTAACACGTGAACAAAACTAGAATGAACGACATCATTTGTCTGTTTTTTGCTTAAGCTTTACGTAAAGTAGCTTTATAATTTTGAAACCACTGACTAATTAATGTATATTTTTAATTTAGACATAAGAAAGTTATATTAATTGCCCTTTTTCTAATTTGCATACGAAGAGGATGGGCTTTAAGTTTAAATTAATTTATTTTATGATAATTACCAACAACGGTTTGTCTATACTATCATTGCAATCATTTAAAGTTACCTCTTGGTGGGGTCAGATTTGTGGTGCAAATTAGTTGTAAGAAGAGCCCATGCTGTTGAATTAAAATTTTTATTGCCTTCTATGATGAAACTTCCGGATTTGAACTGTGCTTAAGTCTTAAATTGTAGTTAAAAATCGTCTAATGATTCCTGGAAAATTCTAAATATAACAGCTTTTTTAGCTTTTGACTAAAACGTATATTATGTTTGCAATCATACTACATAGGAATATCATAATTTATGTTTTTAGTGTACCTATACAGAATGCAGTGTTTCATTTGTGGGTTCAAATATCTTTTGATTGGTTGGTTGTACAATAGGAATGACTTCATTTTACTACAGATATACTGAAATAAAACTGCGCATAAATATGGATCGAAATGACCAAAAGAGAACATACTGTTGAAAAACATATATGGATTGACAGAGAACATTAAAAGAGAACGTACATGGTTCGATTCTCAAACAAAGTTGCCTCGGTTGTTTTACTTAACTAAGGACTAAGTTTATATTCTACAACGAAAAACATCGGGGAAAGCTGTAAATCATTTGAAACTTCACAATCTCTAGCTTTGTTGTATTAAATACTTAAGGGTATGATGTTGCGTGGCCCCAACTTGTCCGCAACAGTAGTAGTGACTGCTATGAACTGTAAATTATACAAACTCGTAAGAAAGGTTTAAATCCCTTTTTATTTCACTTTAGAAATCACGGTCGCGCTCACTTGACGCTCACAAACTACGCCGACCCGGCGGTTAAACCAAATAGAAAAGTACAACTAAAAATAAATGACAGGATGAATAAATAACGAAATCACTATCTACGAGGCTCTATAATCGTAACTAACTTAAGCGCGTTCTAAGATACAGCTGAGATTCGGCAAACTTACTGTTTAAGAAGTTGAAAGATTCAACGAACTGCCGAAATAGGCACACAGACCGAAACGCGCGGTTCTTAAAAATTTCTACCTAGCAACCTTCACGCTCGCGATTCAAGAAGCACACTTACAATCTCGTTTTCCTTTCTATTTAACTCAATTTACTTCTGTTAAAAATTTGAATACTCTGCGCGTTCTACTAAAATTTACATACTCTGGCATTGGCAATTCCAGGGGAAAGTAAAGGCTTGACATGAAAGATAGCTTAAACTTAAAATAAATGTTAGTTAAAATAAATATAAACCCTACAAGGGTAATCTGAAAAATTCTATATCTTCAATACTTCAGCTTCTAATTAGTTGAGTAGTCTACTCAGCTTCTAATTTCTATTGACAAAATGAAAGAATTTAGCATTTAGAATTTTTTAGCATGTTGTGAGTTTGATTTCAAATTGCCAGGTAAAACAAACATCTTTGATAATATACGCGTTCCTACTTTTAGAGTGATTTCACAAAAAGAGATTTTTCTGTCAATTAAATTATATTCAAGAAATTAAAATTTAATTGGTTATTTATATTTGCGTATTCTAACAACTACAAAAAATGATTAATTGATCTCATAATTTTCACAAACTATTCTGCAATATATCGAGTCATATTCTAAGAACCGACTGTCTTTAAATAGAAAAACAGATGTCTTATTTTTTCTGCAGTATTATTTATATTTTTAGGGTGAAGATGGACCAACTGGACCACCAGGGCCACCAGGTCCGGCTGGACTTCAGGTGAGTCACATTCAGTCAAGTAATTTCCATCCTAAGATCTAATTCTATCCGTTCTCAACTGGCATCACAAAAGATCAAATGTAAAGTAAATAATATTTATGATATAAAGTGATAATAAGTATAAGGAAGAGAAATAATGATCTGTTAGACACGATAACTGAATTAATATTATGATATTATGTAACACTGAACATTGAGATACAGACATGATTGAAATGACATTATTTTTGGTTACATAAAATATCATAGATTTCTGAAATCTTTTGCTTGAAGTGGTTTTATTCATGAAGATATGTTAAGACGTTACAATAAATACTTGGTAACTTGGCATTACAATACATACAGATTGATACGATACAATAAATACCTTTTCGGTTTAGTGTAGTCTATAAATAAATTAAAAATGTCTTTAGAGTAGATTTATGTGGCTGTGTACTAGGGATTACGTGTGATTCAGCACTGGGTTTCTCTGGTTACATTTTTACTGTTACACCTAACATAATAAGGATACTGCTTAATGAGCAACATTTTGACTGATATTGTAATTCAGTATTTTATTAAGTGATAATTTTATTTATTAGTTGTGTATCATGCGTTACCGTTAAACGTTAGTTTTGAAGTGAATATACTACTGTGTATAAATAGTTGAATAATTTTTTTAACTAATTTTTTAATTATCTCACCTATTGTTCGTTGGATTTATTTGGTTCCCGACAGAACAGTTACCACATATCCTGGCCGACCCGTATAAAACAATAATTTGGTTTCAAATTAGTTAATGTTTATATAGAATATAGAATTACGAGCTTTTTAATTATTTAACTTTGCAATACTTAAAATCCAAAATAATGTGCTTAACATGCATTTGCATGCATATGTTTTGTTGATTACAGTAGTGTATAATTAAAAATAATAAACACATTTAGGTGTTTGTTTCTTCCGATAAAAAAAAAAAAAAAAAAAAAAAAAAACGTAAAAACGCCTTGATTTGAAAACAGTATTCATTTTTGTCATTAATTAATAAGCCAACGCTACGTTTGTACTGCATACAATATCGTATATACTAAAAATGAATGGCGCAACAACCTTTAGTGAGCAGTGCCCTGATTGCTTCTTGACTGCTTTCTTGGCCCTGGGCTCCGGCATGCATGAGCATATACCTCGGACAAGTGGTCGGTTTGTCGAATGACCCCCGGTGTTTAGTCCCCAAGCAAACTAGTGGCCGAGCGACAAAATCGCTGAACTCTTGTAGGTTCCAATCCCGTGAACAGGATGGCAGCATTGGCCTTTTCGTGGTTTTCAGCATGTATAACGTGTATACGAGCCAGTTTCCCGTAATAAATGCTGCACGAAAGCATCTGTTCCCTTAAGTAGATAGGCCTCGAGTGCTTTGCCCTTGACAAATAAACACAGCCAAATCCCAAGCGAACTTGGTACTCATTTTATCGACCTACTCAAAGGATGAAAGGCTGAGTCAACCGTTTCCTTCCTGGAGATAGAATCCCAGACCTGTCGTGCTGCCACGCGACGCGCTAGCTTTTGCGCCTCTGGGTCTCTATCGTATGTATATGCAAAATAAATTTTTAACTGCAATTTTTAATTGCTTAAGTCTTCTTTTTAATTTTTTATTTATTTATTTTTTATTTTAAGAAAACTCAGATTCTTATGATAAATATTTCTTAAGTATATGCTCCAAAGTTAATGGCCGCCATATGATTCTTATGTAACAGAGATGACGCACGTAACGCCCCAACGGCAAAAGGGAAAGTGCATCTCTTGTCCAATATTCATGCCAAAATCAATTAAAGTAAATTAACCAATGCTACTGAAGCCATATTATGTCCTTCTACTGAGAGAAAAAAACAGCTTCACCACTTTTTAATCATTATAATATAGTATTTCTCTCTACCGCTTTCTTTCGCCAAATAAATATGTAGCTTGCAGCCTCTCTCAGTTATTCTGTAACACGTGAACTCTATACTGAGATCGTTAAAAAGCAAGTGCGCCCGTCTGAGCGTTTGCATTGCTTCATTATGTTCATTATTTTATTAATTATGTAATAAAGGTGGTTTATGAAAGTATACACTGTATATTGTTGAAAAATACATCAAACTCTACATTTATATTACATATATATATCTTAAAAAATAGAAGTTTTTTTGAGAATACTGTTACTATGAAAAAAAAACTGAATATTCGCTATTTGTCCTTTCAAAGGATGTTGCACTCAATAATAATCATTATAGACATTCTCATGACAGATCAAAAGTGTTTTTTAGTCAAATTTCAACATTTTTATTAAAAGATCTTACACCATATTTTCTTTATAGGGTCTTCCTGGACCTCGAGGACCGAAAGGTGATAGAGGGGATCACGGTAAAGTTGGACCCCCTGGTCCTGCTGGACAACCTGGTGAACCAGGACCACCAGGCTCAAAGGTAACTACTAACGTACTTAATTCGTGAAAATATGGTTGCGATATCAATTGTCTATGCGTTATTTTAATGAGTTTCAAGTTATTGAATAATATATCTAGTTTCACATAATACTACTATATAAATTTTGTTTCATTAGAACTAATGAAAGCTGAATAGGGAATAAGAGAATCATTAGTGAAGCAAACTTATTCTGTATATTATTAATATATTTTTTGTGTAGTTAGAATTTTAAAGTGCGTAATTTAAATATCCTGGTGTTGTGAACTATACAGTTGTTAGCATATTATAATGCTAAATGTTTTCAACTGGATGCAAAAGTAATTCTTTGGAATAGGAGTTTTTGGATAAGATTTAAAGTGAAGAAACTTCAAATTTTCCTGGAGAGACAAATGAAAGTCAGTTCATTGCGAAGTGATACAAAATAAAAGGTATTTTCTAAATATTTCTAGATATACATGATAGAAATACATTTTTAACTTGCAATTTTTACACTTTCCAGTACACTGAATCTGCCAATTTAGCCTAACGATTGTACTGATAAATAGCTAGAGTACTGATAATGTTGAGTTTTTGCCAGCGAGTTTTTACCTAATTCATTTAAAAAACGCGTAACACACACACAACACACACACACAAAAAAAAAAAAAAAAAAAAAAAAAAAAAAACTTCATTTAAGAAACTACTATTTATAGCTTACAATGCTACGGAAAACTACTCTTGGAAGTCTAACAGCAACTTACAACACAGCTCCGGCTTTCTATAAATCCAAATAAAGAATTTTTCCTCAGTTACGAGTTTCTAGGAAGAACACTAATTCATATTCTCATTTACACATTAGAAAATGTAATACAGTGCTTTTTACTGAAAGACCTTAATCGAGGATGGGTTTATTTTATTAAAATGAGCCTCTGATGCACTAAGCTGGGTGTAATCTTAATTAAACTCTCTGGTTACTGTTAAGCCGCTATTTTTGCATCTAACGCTAAAAACTGTTTTTCTAGTTGAAATGTTGTACATACTTTTCTGGAGCGAGTGTTATTGTGTTTGAAACCAGAAGACAGATATAAAAAAGCAAGCTTAAAATAAAAGGCTAAAATATTTGATTTTTTTCAAAATCTAAAATTTTATAACTTCATTACAGAGAGTAGAAAGAAGAATCTTTAATTTCTAATTCTGTAACAATCTACAGTTTGGACACTGTAAAATTCAGAACATTCGCAGAAAAAATATTATTTCACGTTTTAATATTTTTATTATACTTTACTATAGAAGTAAATTTCACAAAAGATATATATTTCTAGAAAGTTTAAAATTCTGGAGAAAAGCTATTCCCACTTTTAAGCATTTTAGCTTAGAATGTTTTGATGTAACAGAAATAGTTATTTCTGTGAACTTTTAAAATTGCAGAATGGAATGAATGTACCACGAGTACTTTCTTGTGAAAATCTAATGCAAAGTTGTGTTAAAATGTATTTTGAAAAATAAATAAGTAAATAAATTAAAAAATAGATGCACTACGCTTAATCATTTAAACTTTACAATACAATTCTTACGCTTGATATATTTATACGTGTGAGTAATTTTATCTCTTATATATACCAACGGGAAGAAGCATTATGAAATATTTTTATAACGCAATTTTATAATAATAACTTTTTAATAATACTATTCTCTCAGTGCATATTTATAGCATCATTATTATGGTTGTGCGCAGCTAAAATAAGATAAGGCATAATTAAAGTATAATGAAAGTGTATTTTTTTATAATACGAAAAAATTGCTTGTAACTGTTATTCAGAGTGCGTAGCTAGTTTAAATGTACTTAAAAATTATTTTAAAACCTGGAATCCTTAAAAACTTAAACATCTTATTTATCGTGAAACTTCAAAAATAAAATGAAATTGATATCCTGTGAATGGATTATGTGTATGTAATATTTTAATGCACTGTCTTATGCTAGTGATTTGATTTTTAGGGTGGAGAAGGTATAGCTGGTCCTCCGGGTCCAGAAGGAAAACAAGGACCTAAAGGTGAAGATGGCCTTCCTGGACCTCCCGGACCAACAGGAAAAGACGGAGAACATGTAAAATAATATTCTTTCTTTTTTTTTAATATTTCCTCTAATTCCTTCAAAGATATGGCGTTAACATTAGTAACTAAAAATTAAGTATTAGGCCATATTTCTGCATCCAAAGACGTGCGTTTGTATTTGATTCAATAAAAAGTCTGAATGTAGAGAAAATTTTGAACTTATTTGAATAATTTCATTCAGTATCGTCGATAAAAAAGAAAGAAAGATAGTTCCAATATCTCTCAAGATATCACTGAAAATTTTCCGTCGAATGACAACGATTTAAACAGATTCATTTGCAAAATATAAGAAAACACGAGAATAATAGGAAATGCACTCTGGATGTTGTATTTGATTGAAGGTGCCCCATTTATTTTCTTTTAATGTTGTGACATCCATAGTAAATTATATAATGGAAAGAAGGCTCATATTCATACTTTACTGAGTTTCTGTGCAATGCTTATTTTTATTCATGTGTGGTCATTTAAAATGTGCAGTGTACATTGGTAATGATCCTTCGCGAAGTTGAACCGACATGTCTTGTTCTTGCTATCTGGCTACTTTACCGTTATGACATTTAAAAGGGGAGCAGTGTTTTCAGGAGACTGAGTTTCAATTTGGCATCTGTTCAATGCGCATCATGAATTATCAGTTATAGTAATCGACCAAGTCTGCAACTTTAATGATAGATAATTATTCCTATTTCGTCATGCATTCAGGTTTTATTTCATGCAGTATACTTTGACTGAATAAAGCTTTCTTGCTGCTTCTCAAAATCATTTTTTCGTTTTGAAACATAAGTTTTGGAAAATCATAATAACCAAGGCAGAATTTTCTCTGTTTTATATTTTTTCTAATATCCAATTAAAATTTTAATTTGTGTAGTTAATTAATCACTTTTTCTTAAAACAAAAATTCACCACGTCAGTTTTAGTTCTAATTACGTTTATCGTTTTGGCATAATTTTTCATATTCAGATCTATTTTAAATTATTTAAATTTTAATATCCCTTAATTGGCTTTAACATTTGAAAATAACAATCAGTCTCTCTCTCTCTATATATATATATTATTACATTGTATTTAATATTATCACTTATATTTATATAAATAAGTAATTTACACGAGATTGCGTACACGGTTTTAATATAAAATTGAAAAATTAAACTGAATTTTTTTCTCGGTTTCTATGTATTTGGAAATATTTCTAAAGATATGTTCAGATGTTCATCAGAATAATTTATTTAATCAAAATCATGAATTCGTATGTTCTATAGTAGGTTAAGCACGAGCAAATTTTTTTTATATGTTGAAAGAACTGCAGTTTGCTGTTGCTTCACTGGTGGAGAGGGAGAATTATTTTTTTTTTGTGTGTGTGGGGGGGGGCGGTCTTCCCATCCCTTTCCTGAACATTTACTATCTGTAATATGTTCCCATTTCTGTCGTCAGGCCAAAAGAGAAATGTCTCCATTCCATTTATGTGCGGTTTGGATAACTGCATCACCAGCTTTATTAGCATTTCCTTCATCGTGATGAAAAAGATAGAATATAACGAGTTGTAGAATTCATCCGGTTCGAGTAAACTATGTGTGCATAGGAATCTTCCGCTTTACATCGTAACAGTGAAATTACAGGTCCTCTATCCCAAGAGAAATTTAGGAAGAAAATCGGGAAGCGTCAAATAGTCGTAAATCAGAAAACAGAAGCATCTTGAAGTTCTCATATTTCAATTTTAATTTTCTTCTTTTTTTTATTCAAAATTTATATGTAATAAAATGTATGCATGTCAGTACCAAATACTTACGGTGGGATATGGTTTTATCTTTGCATCTTTATAATATTCTCGGTAATTAACATGAAAATTTATGAAACATCACTGCTTTACTTTTGTGTTCAAAAGCGTATGCAACAAATTATCCTTAGGTTGACCGTACATAAATTTAACTCATTAATTAAGTACACCCTTTGCATTTATATACAAATTCTTATCATGGATTGAGTCTGTATTATTTGACATTATAAAAACTCTTAAATGAAATAAATTTCAATTGTTATCTAATTTTGCTACTATCTAGCTGCCTCTTAAGTTTCGTATTTCTTCGCTGCATGGGTTTAAAAAGTCTGCGTAGATCCCTGCTCTCTTATGGTCATAGAGTTAAGATAGACAAGCCATTAGTTATGTATTTAAACCCATATGAAAAAAGGAACGTAAATGTAGCCGGCAGAATTATCCAAGATATAATCCATACCATAGCTTTGAATCTAAAGTATATAGCGTACTTAAAAAATTTCTAAGGTTCCACTAAATAAATTCGGCACCTACATATGAAACTGAATACTAATCAAAATCATAATTACAAGATGATCCAAAAGTTGCGCACATCAAACTTTGAAAAATTGTGGACATTTTAAAATTGAAATTAACGGCATTTGTTTCAATAAATGGTTCTCCTATTCTGTTATAGGTAATCTACCATTATTTGAAATTTCAAGTGCAGTTAGCCTTAAAATCCATTCATTTGGTCAAAACAAAAGAGAAACATTAAATTAACAAAGCAACAACCTTGTGTTTGGCATAAATTTAGTTAAGAACTCTATAGATTTCGCGGTTAAACAGTTACAGGTTCCTCTTTATCAGGAGCAAAGAAATCTGCAACAAAGAGAAAGCCACAGTCCTGTTTATACATTATAAGAGTAAAAAGAAAAGGTAGCGCCACCTATCGGCAGAAATGGAAACGAAAATTGAAAAATATTCTCGTGAAAAATATTCTATGTTCTATTTCTAAAGATATTTCATCCGCTGCATTAAGTGGATTTCGGAGTATCATTTATTACCACTTACTTGCTTATATCTCGGGACATCGTTCGTCATCCAAGACATTTTTCGTTTCGAATATTTATTTTTGAACCGATTTGTTCGTGAACCACTGCATTAAGGAGCCGCACATCAGTTTGCATGTACGTCTTTTAATTCTAGCATATTTGTATGATTGTAAGATATATTAAATATGCTATTTATTACTTATTTTTTATTCCAATAACTATTCCTTTTTCCAGTGTTTCAAGACAACTAGCTGAGTTTGTCTTTCAGATTAGGAAGAAGGAAAGATTTTTCAGAGAATGAGAAATTAAACTAAAATTTGTATTTCGTATAATTTTACAGAAATAAAACTAGAAATGTTTTGCTTTCTGTTTTCATGCTATATTTAGAAGATAATCAAATTTTAATTTCGCTGAGTTGCTCGAAGAAAAAATTATTAAATTTTGCACAAAGAATATAACTCAACGTATATAACATTTTCTAAATACTTTGCCTTTTTAATATCTTAATGAAATATTACTGTGATCATTTTATAGATGTTATACATTACCTTTGTATTATTTATTTTTTAACCTAAAATATTTGCTTAATATAGGGACCTCGTGGACCACCAGGACCGAAAGGAGAAGATGGTAAAATGGGACTGCAAGGACCTCCAGGACCAAGAGGTCCTCCCGGGCCAGCAGGGCCTAAAGGTTTGCCCGTGTGTAACACTTTAATATTTTAGTGATTAAGCACTATAATATTCTGTAATATATATTTTTAGAGATTATTCATATAATAATCACAATTAAAAATATAATGACAAAAGGTTTTAGGAAAATTTACCATTATTTTTCAAAATCCCTCATGAACATCAGTGCGCTTATCATATAGAAGTTATGTCAAAAGTCTCTGTCTGTATTGCTGAAAGCGTTAGCGAATCTGTTTCTCTACCAATTATAATAAATCATAACGATAACTGAAAAAAATGCTTTAGTTTCTGTAAGAATAAATATCTTATTTACGTGAAAGATCAAAATATGTTTTAGCAGAAATTTCGTAAACCAAACTTGACATGAAGCGATACCAGGTTTTGGTCAGCAAATTTCGAAACATGACATGCATACGGAAATCAGCGAGGCCATCACATCAGAACAGATTCGTCAAAGTATCGAAAAAGCAGTTGAGGAAAGTTCTAAATCATCTGTAATTATTATAGTTCATTTGTTTTCTAAGTATATGCCAAAATAAAAAGAGAATATAACTCTTTAAATACATAAAAAAACCCAGCCTACTTAATTTTCAACTTGGCATATTTAAGTTTAATTACAGCTGTAAATTTTGTTATATGCTTTAAGTCTTCTAGTTCCGCGTTTAAAGATACATATGGAGAAGTATATCGCTTCGTTACATTTTAGCAAATTACTAAGACGCAAGGTTTAATTTAAATTCATTTATTTAGAAAGCTTCGCATTAAAGCAAAATTAGAGTTGTTTAAATAGTAAATTAACCGAAAATACTTATGTAAATAAATTGATTCTAAAATATTCAGATCTCATTCAAATTTCATATGGCCGCCAGCGTTTGTCCTGTAAAGTCGTTGAACACTAGTAGTTCGGTCCGAGTTTCGAATCCTGCAAACGGGCTGGCTGCATAGGTGTTTTCGTGGTTTTCCCCGTGTGTAACGCGTATACGAAAAGCTTCATTTAAAACGTCCTCCACGAAGTCATTCCTCCCCATAGGCAGGTAACCCTTCAGTGCTTTGTCGTAATCAGATTAACCAAACAAATTTTATTTTGTTTTTTTGCTGTTTATATTTTCCTTTTTTTGCATCTAATTTATAGAAAGAGTCTAACAGTTTGACATTTGTTTTCTGTTTTTAGGGTAATCCTGGTTTTCCAGGGCCAGCAGGAGAACCAGGTGTTCCTGGGCCAAAGGTAAAATAGAATATCAAATGTTGTAAACAATTTTTTCTATCCACATTTAATGTCAAATCATTTTTAAAAAGAGGATAAAACTGAAGTTAAGAATCATAACTATGAAAAAAAGATTAATTATTACTAATTTTCGCATGCTAACATAAATAGGACAATCCATATTGCTTAGTAATTTACGTTTTGAAGATTCCTAGGAAGAGAATTAGATCAAGACTTGTGGTGGGACCATAGAATATGACTAGTCTGCTGCTATTACAAATACTACTTTGCCATAATTTCTCCAGTAATTGTGTAAATATGTCATATATTCTTATTTATTTTTATGCATTGTCGAACGTGATGAAAAACATTTTTGCAGCATACTAAAATACCAGTTAGATCTGGAGGTAGTTATTTGTTAAACCAATCTGCTGTGAAAATCAGCCAGTTTCAGGAATTTATCTAAATTTAATTGATTACCTAAACTTCGTTTTCGATGAACTTCAGATCTGTTTTAGTTAAAATTCATTTTAACTCACTCTAACTCAGAGTTTTAGTTAAAATTTCGAACTCTTACTGTGATTATTATTAATATTATAAGTACAACTAAATATTTAATTTCAGTCTTTTTTTTCTTTTAACGAGTATAAAATTTATAATGGGATGTATAAGATTTAACATTAAGGTACAGGAAGAAAGTCAAAATCTGTTGTTCAATGTAATATAAAAAATTAATAATGATTAATAGTAATTTCAATCATACACATCATTCACTGAATAAGAAGTGTTCTTCATTTACTACAATTTAATACAATTGTGTGATCATAATATTTCTTTTTTTAAACAGGGCGCTACTGGAAAGGATGGAAATGATGGAAGCCCTGGCAATCCGGGACCTCCAGTAAGTGAAATTTAAGTATATAAAGTCGACTAGATCTTTCAATGGGCAAAATGTTTTCCAGAATGATTTATTAGATATCAGTATACTCATGTTATCTTCGTTCTTATAGTATATATATAAATGAGTGTTTTATCAGAATAAGCGATGCAAAAAATTATTTTTAAAACACACTTGGTAGTCGATTTACGACCTACACGACTTATGAAGGGTCACATTTACGATTACAAAAAATAAAAAAGTAAAGAAATGGATTTTACAATAATAATAACTATTGAAACGTATTCGATAACTAGCATTATCATATAAATCTGCCAAATTTACCCCGTAAGCAAAGTTCTGTTTGTCGCCATGTGCGATTCTGTGGGTGTGAAATAAATGAGGGGCCGGCGTAAAACAGCGGCTCCCACGCATTTCTAGAGTGTGCGCTATCACTGGTGGTTTCAAGTTGCGCACAGTTCAAACATTCTGTGAACGTAAAAAAGCTACCTGGTTGATCCTACTAGTAGGCTCCTATGCTAGTTCCTACTCATATGCTTGTTCACTCATATGCTACTAGTTCCTACTCATATGCTTGTTCTCAGAGATCACAGATCAGATTTGCAGGCACGCAAATTACCCACGCCCAGAGCGGGGATGTAGTGACCTCAAAGTAACACGTTTGAGATATTTTGTATTCCACTGACAGAAATTTAATCTGCGAACTTTTTTTTTGTTTGTTTTGTGACAGGTAAGTACTTTTTGTATCGTAAATTCAAAAACAGATTAATATAACATAACTAGGTAATACGCATAAATTCAAGATGATTTTACGCTATAAACAAAGTTTTCTTTGTGATCGCGTGATGGCTTTTACAAAGTTGCACATTTAAGATATTTGTGTTCTACAGACAAATTTTCAATCTGAAAATGCATTTTTTTTCAGCATTTTTGGTAATAGGTGGATAGTTTTTCTAACTATAAATTTTAAAAAAAAGCTGGCTTTAACATTATCAGGCAACATTTAGCATCGCACAGACGTAAGCATATCTCGCACATATAAACTCAGTCGTTCAAACATCTATTGTGTATGTGTGTGTAATACTAACTAAATTCTACTGAATGGCTCATAAAAGATCTCCTAAACGGAAAATAACTACATTTATACGATAGCTATGAAGTCAAGATAAGTGGCTGATTTGGAGTGTAAGATGAAAGTTATCCAGCCATTATGAAGGCGGAAGTAAAATAACTTTAATAGCGCGTGGTTTAAAGTTATCGCATTCTTCCGTATCAACCATTCCTAAACATAAAGAAAGAATTCGGGAAGGTATTAAAAGATCTGCAACTATGAAATCTTAAAGTCATAATCAAGCAGTAACGAAGAATTATTGGTGAGGTTGTAGAGTCATTAGGCTAACTGGAAGCAGAAAAGAAGAAAAATAGCAACCGCCTTCGCCGGGAATCGAACCACGGACCTCTGGAATACCGGCCCAGCGTGCTGAACCACTACACCACGAAGGAAGCTAGGAAATCGGGAGAAATACCTTATAAGGTGAAGAAATTTTGCTTATTTGGATCTAAGATTTAATTCGAAAAATATATCCATGAATCTTCACATATTGCAAGCGAAGGACTGTTTCATAGCTTAAAGTCGCAGGCTGAAAATAATTACGAAGAAGATATCCAGGCTAATACTTGATGGTTTAAGCATTTAAAAAAGGATTTGCTTTGTTATAGGATGTGTATGTTATAGGATAAAAAGGAAGTGCGGATGAAAATAATGCTCCAAAACTCGTTAAGAGTTTCGATTCGTCTGTAGTCACAGAAAAAGTGATCTACTAGGACAAATATTTAACGTAGACGAAAGTAGTCTGCAATATGAACGCATGCCTGCTAGGACGTACATACACCAAAAGAAGCAAAAAGAAGATTTAAGACTTCTTAGATCTAAGAAGGTTTAAGACTAAAAATTCTTGAGATCTAAGAAGATTTAAGACTAAAAATTCGGTTAACTTTATTGGAGGGAATAATGCAGGTTTCAAGTTAAATTCTTCTCTAATTTACCACTTTGAAAACCCTCGTGAGTTTAAGAATTGTTAACAATAATTCATTACTTGTTCACTACCACTCAAAGCAAAAACTTTTGATGAGTCAAATATTTTTCGAAGAAGGAGAATTGCATGTCGTGCACGCAAGAAGTATACCTTTCAAATTTTTATTAGTTATGGACAATGCCCCTGGCCATTCTCTTCACTTGGACAATTTTCATAATGACATTTTTAAGTGATTTTATGCCTCCTAACACAACTTGTATCATTAAACTAATGGACCAGGATGCTCTTTCTGCATTCAAAGGTCACTCACTACCTTAGAATAACATTCGCACTAGCCGTCGAAGCCGTAAATTATAATGCTGATTTATTTTTGAAGTAATTTTGAAAGCAGAATAGTATACTTCACTGTATCAAGAATACTTTGATTGAATGGAAGTGCGTAGCGAATTTGGAAAATGTTCTAAAATGTCACGGAAATAGTACGTCTGAAGAATTCGAAAAAGGAGAGGAGCTTGAAGAAACTGTAGAAGAAATGTTAAAATTGCGAAAGATCTAAAACAGAAATGGGAAGAGGATGAGGTAAAAGAAATTCTAGATTGGTAAATAAAAGAACCATCGGATGAAGAGCTGATTGAATTGGGAGCACTAAACAGTAGCAGAAGAAAAAAGTGAGGGAGGAAGAAGAGAAATAAGAAGAGCCAGGAAAAAAATTCAAAGTGTTTATCCATTTCTTTTTTGAAACTAAATAATGCTTTCGCCGGTTTTGAAGCAATGGACGCTAATGCCAAACAATTTGCAAAGGTTGAACGTATTATTCAAGATGCTGTGAGTTGGTATTGCGAGAACTATGAGAAAAAAAAAAAGAAACAAACTTTTCAAACTAAGCTGAGGAGGTTCTTCATCAAAAACACATCTATCTTAACCCCAGAACATGTCTAGTGATTTACAATTCAGCACAATTAAAGATTAAAACTTGATTTTATAAATTACATTAGTATTAATTTTTACAATAACTTTGGATTGAATTTTTATTTTTAGTATAGTACTACTATTTTAGCAGTATCTACAGTGTAAATAAACATTATATTTTTGTATTTTTAATAACAGCATGGATAATAAACAAATTAAAATGTAGAGAACCTTTTAATTTAACCTTAACAGACAAAGCATTACCTAAAATAAAAAACAAAAGGTGATAAGAATTCAAAAGGTTTAAAAAACAAAAATAAAGATGGAAGAAAGATCAGAAAGGTTAAAAATACTGACAATACTACCATTTCATATAAAAAAGTACTGTTAATAAATGCTTGGCCGACACACGACCTGCCAGCCAAAACGAAAGTCTGTAGTTAGTCGTTAAGTGTATATTATTTATAGTCGTTAAGCGATTATCAATGCTTCATGCTTCATTTTATCACTTAGAAATATATATGTATATATAGCATTAACATACTATTATATTTTTACAGATAGCTTTGATTTAAACTTACAGTATATAACACATTGAATTTTGTAGGTAATTTTAGGTAGGAAGAAGAGGGAGACTCGTTAAAATGTTTACAGACAGAACTTAGACTATAGTTCTTTCCTTAGAAATTAATACTGCTAGTTTTGCCAACTTCTCAACTTTGTAACTAAACACTTTTGAGTTCTCATAGCCATATCCCCCAAAATATTAATGCATACAACCTGTTGAGAACTGCCGTGGTAGAGTACCATGAAATAAAAATTTTCATCCTATTATTTGTAATTTGAGCGGGAAAATAATCTGCTTTACATTTTAATGGGCTTTTATACTGATATTAGATTGCACGTTTGTTTAGAATGTTCACTTCTTAATATAATCAATATATGAGATTAATTTAATCAAAACATTTATTTATATTTTACCAGTTTATAAATAAAAAAACTTAAATTCAGCTTAAATATAATGAAATTTTAAAAATTTCTGAAATATCTATCCCTTGCATCTTGAAGAGAGTAGGTTACAACTATCAATATATTTTCTGGCAATCAAATTTCAACTTACAGATGTACAATAGTATACAAATATTCTATTACTCTAACGACATAGGTTTAATTCATTCGATTTCCATTTGTAACAGAAAATGAAAAATCTAATGTCAGATCTTCTAAAGGATTTGACAAAAAGGTTTTCCAATTGCTTAAGAAGCAGCTAGAGAAAGTTAATGAAAAATTATAGCCTAAGTCTTAAATGAATGCTTAAAAAAATTAATTCAGCGAAAGTGACGAATTGTGAAAGAGAGAAATAATGTGAATTATGTAACTTGATCACCACATATTCGTATAATAAATCAAAAAATTTCCATTATTACTTGTGATTGTTGAACCCTTCAGTAATAACAGGAGACAAACCTTTAGTGATAGTGATTATGAAAATGTATTTCGTCGCCTTTTAAGTCTGTTAAACGTTGATGAGGACTTAAGAAGTAACACTAATGGCTTTGTCGATGTGCATTCTTTGAAAGTGTTATAATTCGGCGGTGTGTTATAATTTCAGAAGTAATATTTTTCTTTTGTTATGTTCTAGGGACCACCTGGTGAATCTGGTAAAATGGGAGTTCCAGGAACTGCTGGAAAACCAGTAAGTTTATTCCTTTTGCTCATTTAAATTTGTCCTATTTTGAGTTACGCGTTTATCTCACTTATATGAATCCTTCAGAGGTGTAAAAACTAATGCATTTCTCACTGTATATAAATGTAACTAATTATAATTTTAAAGTCACTGCAAAAAGACCTTCCAACTCCCGAAAAAAAATGTTATATTTAATTATGCTGATGGATTCTTCAAACTCAGCATTTATTAACGTACGAGCAGCCGAACGATAAGATCGCGGAACACTAGTATTTCGATCCGAGTCCAAATAACGACAAAGTGCTGGATGCTTTTCCTGGTTTTCCCCATATGCGAAATGAATACGAGCTAATTTCCCTTAAAAAGTTCTGCAAGGAGGCCTCTCTTCCCATGGGCATAAAGGCCTCGTGTATTTAAGATAATTAAGTATGTTCCAACTATATCGTACTCATGTATGTATCCATCCATATCATGTATTCATGTATGTATCCAATAACGTATGTATGTTTTCATAATAAAACTATATCGAATATTTACTAATATCTTTTAAAATATGGTTAATAATATGTGAAAAATTCATCTTTTATCTCATAATTAGCTCAATGGGAACATTGGCTCGACGCATGGGATATGATTTAATTGAAAGATAACGACAGAACATAGCTACCGTGCTTTAGTTTTAATACGTAAAATAAACTGACTGCTTCTCCCATTGTAGCATAATTTTGTAGTTGCTTACAAAGTTATTTTTGTTAATAATTTAAACGGCAAAAAACAAAAGGAAGAATCAATTTTTTCGTATTATAAGATCTTTATTATTCTTTGTAGCGCTCTATAACTCCTTGTTGAATTCAGTCATGACAACACTTAAGTTAAGCGATAGGTGAAGTGAAAGTAGTAGTTATTTTCTAGTAGAAGAAGTTGTAGTTATTTTTTATGACCAATAATAATTGTTGCCTACCTCACTCCCCTAACAGTAACGAAGTTAAATTACTCTGAAAACATATCTATACAAATAAAACACTGATACAAATATATAAATTGAAATTATGCTCACAAACAAAAACATAGTTAAGTTTTAAATTAATATGAAAGAGTTATAAGTTCAAGAAGAGTCAATAACGTCATTGAAACGAACAGGAAGTTTTACTTGTCTTCCACAACTTTCACTTCAGTTTAAATAAGGCGTTACTTCGCATATACAGTCAGAGAGAGCATGAGGCAGAAAAACAAGAGCACCGTAGAAAATTAAAGTACAAAACAACTGGGTAATAAAAATGAAACAAAACTTATACCTTACTAATTAAAATTTAATTAAATTATGTACTTTTAAAAAAACATGCATAATTTTGATGTTAATGTATTAACAGATCGAAAATGTAAATTCGTGAAGAAATAAAGAGCATAAACGTCTCGAAATAAGGATAAAAATTTCCAGTGCAAATTATGTCATAAAAAACAACGATTTTTTAGAATTATATTTAACCTTCAACTACTGATCTCTTTGAAAAATTTGTCTTCACTGATTATCTGAAATCACTGATTAAACTATACCTTAAGTTATGAGAAAAATTAGTCAGAAATGAATGGATGTATAGCTGTGATATAAAATATTTTGGCAGCATTATCTAATGCATTCATCAATTGCGGAAACCAACGTTTCATCAAAAAGTGTTCCGAGGAAGTTTGGGTGTGGTAGTTCTGGAACTGCATTGTTAGAAATGGGCTTTCGTGATTCAGTAACACGCCAAGGTCACATATTGAATGATTAGTTATCAGTTCCATCTAGTCAAATGCTTTTGCTATACTCTTAACATATTTTACTTTCACAATTATAGTACGTTCATTTCCCTATCAAGATAACACTATTAGTTATATAGTAATATAGAATTATTGTTACAATTATTTATTAATTCATTCCATCTGAAATAATTAGAAGAAAACTAGTAGAAAAGAATAACTTTATCTAATCATTAAAATAGTATAATTTAATAAAGTTTTTAAATATATTTAATTTTGTTGCAACGAATACGTTAATTTCGTAATTGAAATAAATTCTAAAATATTCCTCTTCATTCTCAAGCTTGTGAAACGTGATAAATGCTCTACTCAAAGACTAACCATTGACATTTGTCTTTATTTGTGTTGTTACTGTCATTAAATCAGTAATTTGTAAGAATATTACAGCGAATTGTGTTGAAATTAGTCCGTATGGATTCAAAGCATTTATATATATGCATATTTAAATCTGACTTAGGATCGAACAGTCAATATTATAAACTCTAGTAGTCTTATCTGTTATTTGTTCATTGTAAAGTCTAGTCCACGGCTTTTGTAGTTCATTGTAAAGTCTAGTGCACGGCTTATGATTTTTTTTTTGTGCGTGTAAGATAAATACGAAAACATTTCTTTCGCAAAGTTCTCATAAATCATGTTTCCTAGAGTCTTAGTTTTTTATATTCTTAATTAAGCTATTATATTTTCGACAAACGCCTTTATATAATTTGAAGTACTGAAGTATATATTAAAGATTCTGTTGCTGAAGGACTTTATCGTGTTAAACCATAAAATCAATTCTGGGCATTATACTGCTTATTTGTGAATAGTTATATAAAAGATTATTGAATGCGCCGTTCGCTAGAAGGTGAAAGATATTATATTAAATTCTGATCTCAAGGCATCTCATAATGCTTTAAATTTTAAAATGCTCAATGTTAGTTTTTGTAGAACAAAACATTTATTTTTAAACTATCACGCTATTTATTTCAATCTATTACACTGTTATTTATTTACTTTTTAACTTACGCGTGAATTATTTGTGCAGCATTAAAGTTTCTAATATTTTTGTTGATGATAAAGGATTTCTCGCGATAATATCTTCGATGGTTAAAATTATGAAGATACTACTTATCTATTAATACTCTTGAATTGAATTTGTAGTACATATTTTGCATCTGTACTCATTTGTTGACTAAACTATTACAGGGACCTCCTGGACCAGCAGGAAAACAAGGGGACGTAGGCCTTCCGGGAGAGAAAGGAGACAGGGGATCTGCAGGTCCTCCAGGTGATCAGGGACCTGTTGGACCTACGGTATGTAGTTTAAAGTACCCTAATTTTGAAGTTTGATTTTCCTAAGAATATTAAAGTATGAAATTTCTTGTTCTTGGCAGATTTTATTGGCAACCCCTATAGTTTCCTCTAATTTTATTGCTTAACATATTAAAGTGATCATAAGTATCTACCTATTCTAAAAAACTAGAGAAGACCCCATAAATATTAAAAAAATGCTATAATTAAAATATTATATATTATAAAGAAAAAATACACTTTAATAAATTTCGTTAGTTACTGTTAATTTTGTCCTAGAATTAACAAAAGTTTGAAGTTTTAGTGTAAAACTACAGTAATTTTAATTCAGACTATCTGAAAATTTGTCTTCCAAAATTATAGGGAACTTCAGGATTACCAGGACCTCCAGGACTTAGAGGATCTCCAGGACCTGCTGTAAGTTGTGAATTTTTCAATTTGAAAATATAATTTAAGTACATAAAAGTCTGTGTGAGATTTCATTTTAAGTAATCCAGTTATTTTTTTATTATTAGGCTACTTTCACCAAAATGCAAATGAAATAAAGCACGAATAAGCTCAAAGGTTTTGAGTTTTTAGAAGGAGCATAGGCTACATTACACAGATTTTACATTAAACCTAAAGGGGCGTTTTTTTTAACGTTTTTGTGCGTTATCTTTATTTATTAAATATCATGTTCTTCGCACTTAAACCATAAAATTCAATTCAACAGCAATATCGCAAAATAATTTTAAAATGAGCATATCTTTAGAGTTTCGGATACAGAGTGTCTCGCTTGCTGGAGATGATAATGTATTTTTTTTTTTTCGTACAATGTTGCCGTTGCTGGCTTCGAAATCATTGAGTTTGTTAATTAAAAGTTCGTTAAAGTGTTAAAAAATATGAAAATCGATAATAAAACAAATTCCAGATTAGGGCTTCCAGATGCCCATATTTGGTGGAGGATTACGTTATTCAGAATTTGATGGTTGTAGGTACCGTTGTTTTATCAGAATGCTAGAAACATACATACATTCATGCAGATTCTTCATTATTTAATTTCTTTAAAAATAACACAGGGCGATAATATTTGGTGGTAACAATTTGAAAAGTGAAACGGACATTTAAAGTTTTCGACGCAAAATGCCAAAACGAAATTAATAGCCTTTCTGCGATAAAAATAATTTTCCTGTGTCCTGTCTTCGGTCTTGGCTTTAATACTCTGCACCTGAAGCTTAACTTCCATACTTTCATATTGCGGGTGGAGTTTTGACAATGATTCCAACTCCAGCCAATACCTCTCCTGAGATGATATTGTTACGAATTTTGTACTTAGATAGGTAATTTTAGTAGAATTATAAGTAATATTGTTATATTTTGTGTAATGTAGCACGAGATAAATTTTAAAAGAAAGCTATGGCGGAAAAGTAAGAATACAGGGGCAAGTGCATTCAACATTGAATAAATGGGTAATGAGTAATTTGATGAGATATCGCCAAGCTAACAACGGTTTTCGCGAACATTTGGTGACATTTTTTGTCCGGTCCCTGCATCATTGCAATATGTATTGAAATTGAATATATGTAATTGATCACTATGCTAACTGTAACGGTCATTCCACCCTCTTATTGCTTTTCTGTAACTTCGAGAGGTAGAAAGTACTAGAAATATCTTGCGACCGATTGAAAACTATTTAAGGCCGAAGAGAGAGCATCTGAGTTCAGTTGCTTAGTTATTCTTGTTGCGAGGTTTTTAGTTCCGCGTGAACTGAGATATCCAGCTTAGCTTTTTCTTTAGATGTTCTTTGCATTACGTTGTGTTTAACGTTATTTGTAGTTTGAAGTGCAACTACTGATTATACTGTGTGATACTGTGAATACTTATACGAATATTTCTGTGGAAAATTCCAGATTTCTGAACAATTCCTTTTGATAAAAATAAACTTTTATTAACCTATTATCGGGCTTGTGCATTCAGTCTATTACGAACCCGTACGCACGCAACAATATTGTATTGAAACTGAATCTCAGTATCAACATATATGTATTGTACATATCTATTCTGTTATCCATAGAAACATTTCTTGAATCAGTTAGTAAAATTGATATTGATGTTAACAACCGGGTCTGGACTTCACGTTTCCAGAGAACAGCAAATTATTTTTGAGCAGCTCCTGAACACGAAGGAAAATCTTTATTCGAAATCTATTTTTTCAAGAAACAAAATATTTACGGAACTAACTCATTATGAACCAGAAGCTTTTATATGTATTTATATTTAAAATAAAAAAGCAATTTTATATGACACTGAAAAACATATTCGCAATATTTTTTTTTTTTAAATCCTTGGTATCACGTGCTATCATTAACTTACTTTCCATTTGGCTTTATTATTTTATTTAATTTTTATAATACATTTAACATATATATATTATTAATTTAACTAGATTTGTTTTCTGTTTATATTTTAATTAATTTTATACTTTCATTAGTTATTGCTTCATTTATTTATTTTTGTTTGCGTTTCCTGACCCCCATGGATTTCAACTTCGTTTTCTTTTAGAAGTTAAATATGCTCCTCTATCTGCTCTTGTGCAAATATTGTCAAAATTCAAATATATGAAAAATAAATAAGCGTTTTAATTTACATTTCTTCTGATCTGTAAATATTATTTGTTTATAAGATAAGCAGCTGGATTACATCAAGTCTTATACTGTCCAGCAGACAGCTTAATTATGCTGAGCATGGGTGGAACTTTATAGATCAAGTATTTTAAAAACAGAAAAAAATAATTCTAAAGCTAGACTTGAGAGAAAGTTCGGGAAAGGTTTAAAGCAAGGATGGGCCAACTACGGCCCGCGGGCCAACTCCGGCCCGCCGGAAGGTTCTATCCGGCTCACGGAGAGAATTTAAATTTTTCCGTCCGAGGCAAATTAAAAGAGATATGTATTATATATCCAACTCCTTTTCTATTTTGTTTAAATATTATTTATTTCTTCCTTTTTTCAAAGGACTGATGATCTTTTTAATCTCTCTATTTTTGTTCTACAAAACATAAAATGACAGAAATAGCAAGCCTAGACAGCTTTTAATCCGTAAAGTGTGAGCAGCGGAAGTTCTTTGTTAGTTATAGCTATAGATTGACGTCAACAAGCGTTATCTCTTTCTCGGGGAGCAGACATATAGGAATCCAATTATAGGTGAATTAAACATCTTAGAAAGAACTTAATCTTAACTTAGTAAATCTTAATATGTTTGCTGGGCAGCTAGCTAGTCTCGTTTGAGGTTAAATTCAATACCCTCAGTAATTGAAGAGAAGCTTAAGAATTATGAAGATGGCTTGAAAAAACTGCATTTTGAGTTGGAACGAAGATGTCAAGATTTCAATGCCATTCAAACAGAATTGGATTTTTTACCATGCCTTTCAACGTAAACTGGAAGCAGTGAGATCAGATTGCAGTTTGAATCGAGTTGCAAATCTAACAATCATCTCAAGCAGCTGTTTCTAAATATGCCAAAGTTAGAGTTTTACAAATCATTATCGAAAGTAAGTTTCCCGAATTTAATATCTCACGCCCAGAAAATCAGTGCTATGTTTGCTTCATCTTAGATATGTGAACAAGTGTTTTCAACCATAAACCTTAGAAAGAATTATTTCAGAAGTAGATTGACACATGCGCATTTAGCTTCGTTCCTTAGAATCAGTACATCACGCCTCGAACCTCAATATAAGTAACTTTTAAAAATGAAATCGCAATTTCAGTTATCTCATTAACATAATTAAATTGTAATACTTGTATATTGTTCTTAAAATTTTAGAAAAATATCTTGGCCCGCCAAACGTTTTGTTTTCGATTTTTGGCCCGCGACCGAAAATGTTTGCCCATCCCTGGTTTAAAGAAAATGTTTAGTAGAATTATTCTTCTTAGGACTAAAGGGCGTGATAGCTATGACTAAATCGAAAATTGATTTATATAAATTAGTGATTTTTACTATTATTATGTGCTGAGAATTCAGTTTTTCTGTTTACTATGGATTCATAAAAATCTTCTTAAACACCAAGCCAACTCTATAGGAAAACTTCAATCTTTATTGAAATTAATGACAGCTTTTACAAGCAAAAAAAAAAAAAAAAAAAAAAAAAAAAATGCTATAAATAACACAGAAAGGAAAAACAGAATTCTTCTTAACCCTAGAAGAATATCGAAATCACTAAAATTTTTCACAAAGTTTAAAACAATAATCAACGAAAGGAAAACTTAAAGGTAAAACTGAAAAATTCAGAACTAAATGCACAGCTCTCAATTCAGTTCCGAAAGCAATGTAATTTGCACAGGTCCGAATGCAATCTTATTTTATCTATACTTTCGCTGAAATTTATTTGTTAGTTTGTTTATTTTTCGTTAACTTTATTTTATTTGTACTGAAACTTTCCAGAAAATATTTCTTTGGGTTACGAAAATGCGATTTTTGAAACTTGCAGAAAGTCGCCATTTCGGTAGAGGGTTTTCTTCCCTACTTCGGGATGCGTTATTCTGACAGTGCTTGAAGTCTATGTCGATTAGAATTAAATATTATACATGAAATAATCACATAAAAAACAATAAATGGCCATAACTCAGTTATACAAATATAGACTAAAAACGTAAAATTACTACAAAGTGCGACAAATAAATAAATAAATGAAAGCAAATATATAAAACACAAAAGACAAAAGTAGATGAAATCCAAATTACAAATAACTAAATGCTAATGTTTACAACAATATAACTAGTACTGTTGTTACTTAAGGTAAATGAATCAATGAATAAGATGGTAAACGAATTCTCATTAATGAACCTTCCTAATTACATAACGTAGAAATAATAAAATCTACGAACAATATAACTAATACTGATGTCATTTAAGGTAAATGAATAAGCATATTTTCATTAATGAACCTTCCTAATTACATAATGTAGAAATGAAATCTTTACACATTCCCAAGAAATTGTATATGTAACCGTTGTTCGAATGCTCTGAAACAATATATGAGTGGCTAATTATAATTAAATATATAAGTATTATGTATATATGTATGATTTATAGATGATTCCTTCTTTTGCATTTAAAATTAACTCACTTTTTTTCTTTTTTGTTAGGGAGATGTAGGACTACCAGGAGCAGCGGGACCTCCAGGGCAGCCCGGAAATATTGTAAATAATAGTTACATTTATTTTTATTTTGTAAAATTCTGTAATTAAAATACATGAGCTGATAATTTTGTTTAGAGAATCTTTACTATACAGTTTTACTTTACCTGTATGTAGACGAGTATTTTAGTTTATCATTACAGTATTTGTATATAAAATTGATCAAAGGTTTATATTATAGCAAAAAAGAAAACTCTAGTATTTTATAAAATCTTTACTTTGAGATAAAAATTTTTAGTTAACTTTGAGATCTATGACTCATTTACTTCATTCATAATTAAAGTAATAACATTTAAATAATCAAAGATATATCTGAATTATTTCAATAACATTTCAACTTCATGCTAAAATTATTTAATAGAAATTTCAAAATTCAGTATATTCCTGGATAGAATATACATACTATATTTGAGAAGCAAAAAGGGAAAATTCATAATTGCCTATTTTGTTTCTTCTACACTGAAGGAATTCAAAATTCTGAAACTACTTTTTTATTTCATAAACGCTAGAAAATTGAAACTAAAATGTTAGTTGTAGATAAAAGTTAGAAAATGTTGTTTGTTTGCAGGATATGAACATCATAGCTGCCATTTCGGGAAACTCAATCCAGATTTTATACGAAAAAATAAACATTTGATGTAAGAATTTAAGCCAGAGCTTTCTTCAAAACATAGAGGATAAATTTATTCTTTGAGGGAACAATAAGAATGACCTACAAAGATGATGTAAATGGGCCAACAATGACCGGTTCTTCCTGCATTCTATACTATGTCTAGGAATGAATTAATATTGTCCTTATGAGTAATGCTGGAAGCCTCCACGTTGCTGCTTAAGAGCCTAAAAATTTTCACTTCAAATAGAGCTAACAGTATTCATAAAAATTTAATGAAATAGAATGACAAGTGGTGAACATCTGAAAACGACAGGAAACGAAACAATAGCTACATTAGTTAAGCTGAATTCATGAAAACAGCCCTCAATGCAATAGGCGTCATATATTCTTGTGAAGAGGTGTCAGCAAAAGTTCGACTACATGGATATTACGTACAAGCATTTGTATAAGGTCCAACTTATGCAAAATGTAAGTGGCGATGACTCCAGCTTGCATTTTGAGCTTTGAAGGAAATTTTGATTAATGTTCTGCTCCAACGACTTGCTTGAATTGAGTGGCATACCTCATTTCTTTGAATTATTAAGTTAAAATTATTACTGTGATTTAAATCGGCACATAAATCCCACTAAACTAATGACGCCAGATTAGTTCTTTACCTTTTTAACATTCTGTCGTTTGGTTTAAAATCTTCAAAGCATGGATTTTAGTAGCTTCATGGAGATTTCTAATCATATAGCAATGAAGAGATAATTTAATTATTCCTACCTTTCATGGGAATATGCAACATTACATTTCAAACGTTTAATTCTACATTTCCGTGGAACTTTATCGAAATATTACCAACTACACCTTCAGCGTTTAAAGGTTTGATGATCTTTCAGCGTTTGAAAGTTTAAAGACATCCGTGAGACAATGGTCTTCTCACAATAATATTTCAAAATTCTCAGATTGACGATGAAAGTATGGGTCTTTTGATTACGCATGAGAAGATGTAGGTTAATATTCATTGTGAAACTCTTAGAATTTGATGAACTTTGTCTATCTGTTAGAATGAGAACTCATCTTTCAGCTTGAGCAGTTTGGTAAAGGTATTGCCATGTAATAACTTCACCGTCGCCACAGTTATTTCGAATTCAAAAATGTTAGACACCACTTTTATCCATCATTTTCGCGAATGATATACTTCACTAATCATGGCACGTCTGCATCCTTTCTGTTCTTATGCGAATCACAAATTCAGATACCAAATGTCAGTTATTACTGTACTTACTTCCATATTTTTCGCTCTCGATTAATTTAACTTCTAGCATCTTCAGCATTAGAATTAGAAATTTTGTTTACAATAGCAAGGAAGGCTAAAGGAAGGTTCACTTATAACTTAATTTCAACTGTAGGTGAAAGTAGATACTTGAGTGACAAACATCTAACCCATCCTTCATTGATCATGGACATTTTCCATTCTATTACGAAAGGTTCTCCATCAAAAATTGTGCCTGTCCTTGTGGCATGAGAAATGACAAACTTGAGCATCTGTTATTTAGATATTCTTTTACGAAAAGTATTGTTCTAAAATTTATTCCTCATATTGTAAAATTTAATACTTTAAGTGATTTATGTAAAAATGTAGTGACCAAACTGAAATTATGAAATTTCGTAAAATATGTAACTGTAAACCAAATGAATTTATACATTGAGTTCAAGATTCTGTCTGTTTTTCTGTCTGTTTCATATAACAAGTTATTATATATAAATAAAAAATAGTATTGAAAGTAATAACTGTAACTGACTTCTTTGGAACTGTAGAATAAAATAATATCGGCACATCTATTTATATGCACTTTTCTTTCAAGTTCTTCTTTAACTCCTTGCCTCAGAAATGAGATATACCGAGTAATTTTCAGTTTTAAAGAGAAGGGCATAAATATAAATACGGAGGTCACTCTGCAATTTATGAGATACGTGCAGATAACAAATTAACCTTTACATTTGAAAATATGAAATATTTTAGCTTAGACGAATTTTCCATCGGCCGGTTTCAAGTAGTTTAGCGTGGAATAACTTTTAGGCAAAAGGAAAAATGTAGTTGACGCGAGAACATTGTCCGGCTATGATTTTCTATGATCAAATCAAGAAGAATACTTTCAGCTTCTACAGTTAGCATTTGGAAATGAAGGTTCATGTCGTACTACTGTATTCAGATGGTTTACAGAATTTACCAGAGGTCGCAACTCTCTTCAGGATGAGGAACACACAGAAAGGCCGTCGGCAGTAATCTCGGATAGTTTATCTGCCATACGGAAAATGTTAATCGAGGATAATCGCTGTGCCTATCAAATGATACAGAAGGAAGTTAACATTGGATCCACCACCATACATAAAATTATTCACGAAGAATTGCATATGAAAAAACTAGTGTGCCGTTGGGTTTCCCATAATTTAACTAACGCCAAAAAAGGAGTGCCAAAAAGAGAAGCGTGTCAGGGTCAGTAAAGAAACCCGTGAATTACTTAAATATGGTGGTCATCGCATTATTTCTAAAATCGTAACTGGTGATGAAACGTACGTTCCGTTTTTTGACATTCCAACACGACAAGAAAGTAAAGTATGGGTCTTTGAAGATGATCCTATGTTCACAATAGTGAAACGGTAACACGCCATGAAACAGGACTTGTCAAAACCATCAAGCTAAAAGGACAGAAAACGATAACAGCTAACTGGTTACACCATTAAATGTGTTTCAAGAAATTCTTCAATAAGTGAATGCTCCATCACGACGATGCATTTTCTCATTAAGAAAGATTGACAGTTGAATTTCTTGAACAAAAACATATCAAAGTGATAGAACATCCACCCAATTCACCCGATCTAGCTATGAGTAGCTTTTGTCTATATATTAATCAAAGAAAGAACTTACGTAGATGTCGGATTCATTATGAAAATAGACTGATAAGGCAGTAGAGACATTAGGTATTTTTTTGGAAGCAGGAGAGAGGAAAAATTGGCAATGCCTTCGCCGGGAATCGAACCGCGGACCTCTGGAATACGCGCTCAGCGTGCAGACCACCACACCACGAAGGCATGCCAAGAAGGCGGGATAAATACCTTATAAGGCTATAAATGTACTTTTTCCATCAAGTTCAAGAATTGAAAATTTTATTTTTGGAAAATTCACCTACACAACTGTATCGATGCTGGAAATGACTACTTTGAACACTCCTAAAATTTCGTAAGTATGACTTTAAAATGCTATATGTATCTCAGAAATTTCAGAGTGACCTTCGTATTGCTTTACATAAAATTGTCAATTGGGCAGTACAATTGATTACTTATAAACCAGTCAGTCTTGAAGAGTGGCTCATTATGGTAGCCGTGAATTCTATTTCATTCATTAAGTTTCTTTAAAAATTTATTATATGATATAAATTTACAGCAAGTTTATAAAAGCAGATTGTAGAATTAGATTTGGAGCAGTAAATTAAACCAGAATGAGAACGCTGAAATAAATTTTCTAAAAGAAAAAAATTTTACAAATCTAAAATCTTCTTTGAAGATTATACTATATTGCACTATCATACCCAACACTCATGAAACTACTAGATCGTAATTATGTTAACGGTGAATTTCGTATCCAGTGTTCCACTGCGCTAAATACATGGTAATTGAAATTCGATCTTTTGTGTTATTTCAGGGTCCGCAAGGAGATAAAGGAGCTAAAGGAGAGAGAGGAAAACGAGGATTGAAGGTATGTAAGAGGACATTTTGCGCAGAACTTTAAAAGAGTCTAATTTGTTTTTAAAATTTATATTATATATTTAAATATATGATATAAATTTTAAAAATATTTAAAAATGATATATTTATACAATGATGGCTGAAATCCGGAAAAGTTTCTAAATTTCCATGTCTTGTAAATGTGATTCCAACTGCAAAACGCTATGTTTCTCTAAAAAAAAAAGTTTTTCAATCAGGATATAGAGAATTTATTGCAAATTCATTACCAGAAAATGGAATGTATATATCAGCAGTGCAGAGATAACTTTTAACAATAAACACTTGTAACTGAATTAAGTAACTGACTAGAATTGCGAGCTTTATTGGCCATCGCAGTTTTAGTAGAAGTACTTTGCCACAGTCAGATGGCAATATCGTTTGTCTCACTTAAAAGGCTGTAGTAGTTTTTCAGGTCCATAATGCATGGCGTTAAAAGCTTCCATAAATTATGCTAACATTAAATAAATATAATTAGTAGTACTTACGTATTATCACGTCGAGCTTGAAGGTGTTGCCAAGTAACAGGATTTAGGGCTAGTTATGGATAAACTTGACGTAACAACACAATAATAAGATTTGCATTTTCGTTTGATGTAACCCAGGTTGTTTCTCTATAAGCCAACTTTTGTTTTTAAGAAAAAGGATGTATTTGGCTGAAAGTGCAAAAAGGTTAGCTTCCATTCTCATAGAGTTAAAAAAATAAAAAGAACAAGGATGGTAACACTAACTGTATTTTTTCTTGAATTTTGAAAAAATGAATAAACTTTGAGATCTACCTTGTACAGAGCAGCAAGTAGCGGATTAGTTTCAAAATTATAGAATCCTGCAATCACAAAATGGCGTATTAATGGACACGTAGCCGAATACGGCCGACAAACAGTAATAGATTAGAACAATTACCTCCAGAAAGTATATCCTCTTAGCGTTCTAAACAGAGCTTCTAGTAAAACCGGAGAATTTAACAAAATAGGAGAAATCGACGAAAGCATTATTTACGAAGCGCGAAAATGAAGCTGATCGTATACAGATTATTTATTAATTAAAATGTGTTAGTTTCTTTGGCGAAACTTTGGCAATATCTCTGCTAATTTTCGTGGTTCGATGGTAACCAACTTTCGCGGTCGATAGGATAATACTTAAGTACCTTATTTTTAAAAAGCGTTCTAAAACTAACAGTTTGTTTGCTACAAAAAATATACTGTTATAATTTGGAAGATAAAGAAAAGTCTTCGGTCACGTAGAGTGACATCAGCACGTAGATACTATGGCGCTTGCCAGGCCGCGCGAGTGTACTGTAATCTATTAACGCGAGTGTACTGTGATCTATTAACGCAAAGTAAAGTCATTGGGGAAGTCTAGGTTATAGAAAGAGTTCTACATGTTACTATATAATAAAAACAATAACAATCTTTATGCTTTACGTTTCCAACTTTTTTTAATTAAAGGGATTTTGTTTTCGCGTGAAGACTTTGTTCCTGACAGTTTTTTTTTTTTTTTTTTTGGGGGGGGGGCTATATTCCCGTTTTTACATTTTTTAGATGATAATACGCTACTAAATCACTGTCTATTTAGATCACCTAAGGTATCTGGAACATTGGCAGGTCCTTGGGCATTAATCATGTTATGCAGTTATTGATACTTTTCCATAACCAATTACTAAATATAGTTATTTTCCGTTAACGAGGAGCAAAATATGATTTGCAAATTCCGTTCTCGAGTTTACATTATTTTCATGTAATATGCAGGAGCTGAATAATTTATCTTTTGTAATTTGTTTAAGATTTAATTGGTTATCTAGGCCCTCAAAATTATTTCATGTTTTCTGAATTTTTTAAATCATCAGGCCGTTTTCTCAATATTAATTATATGCGATATGATTCCAAATAATGAAGTACCTTTCCTGGACATGTAGTATTATTTCGCCAACCACGGTTTTCCTACGATTATTAAATTTTTTGTGTGCGCGCGTTAGTTTCTGGATCCACAAAACGTAAATACAATTTCGTTCGCTTATTGTTTTTTACAGATCATATTTAACGACATAAGACCATTTTCGTTGGAAGGAGATGCAGTCTTCTTCTGATGCAGCCAATTCCCAGACTTTCATGAATAATAATTTAAATGCCTTCCTTATTGATATGACTATTAGAATAGCTGGCTGCTACATCAATGAACCTGTGTTTGAATCCCGGAGAAGTCTTAAACACTTTTAAATGTATAATGTCTTTCCTGCATGTCCGTTGAGCTATTAGTCCTCTCATGAGGCTACTAATAGGGAAAGAGTCGTATTGGACCGCTGGATTCCACTGCTTAAATTGTTTTCTGTCAAAATTGGGATAGAGTGGGGCAAAAGTTGCACTGTGATACTTATAAAATGCCCAAGTGACAGATACTCTGATTTAGACCAGGAAGACAAACAACAACTAATTTCACATGAATTTTATAAAAGAAATTGCTTTAAAATTTAGATTTTATGTATCAATATGAAAAACATACAGTGATGAAACGACGGCGTGTCTATATTGTAATGACTTATTTTAATATAATAATAATATTAGTGACTGTTTTGTTCTTAGCACTGATGATTATTTTGCGCGTAGCGGTATTTTGCGCCCAACCATCCAAATAGTACTTAAATATTTTGAGGCATAAATTCTTTTGTATTTAAAATTATAATAATGCATTGCTTATAAAAAATCTGCTCGGCGAAAAAACAATATATGTATTCCTGAATAATATTTTGATAGTTTGCAATCGCAATAAATTTTATTAATATTTATAGCATCAATGTGATCAACGAAAGAGGCTTCCATTGCCATACAATAGATACTTAGGTGATAGACATTTTATTCTGTAACAAACCTTTAAATTCTTGTCACCCATGAGAATTTTCTGCAATTCTGAAATCGGTAATGCTGCTCAGATATTTATCAGAAAACTACCTTTGAAGCGCTAAGGACAAAAGTTTATTATGTTACCTGAATTAAGTCAGCCTTGTATTTGCGTATTTCTGTCACAAGTCGATTGTGTTATTATGATTCAATCTTTTCTCGTGTCGCTAAAATTATGCCACTCTAACTACTGTGCGGAAAACTTGATAAGTGGATATAATTTGCTCATTACAATGGCAGCATGCGATAATTGGATAGGAATAAAGAGATAATGAAAACAACCATAGGTATATTAGAAAATTCTCTGTCATACAATGCTGTAAGATTTAATCTCTATCTGGTGTGACAGGATTTCCCATGTTTGATTTTCTCTAGCTGTAATTAAAAATTCATTTTCCACATAAGATAAAAGCAACGAAAAAGAACATTTTCTTAATACATGGAATAAATGTAAACTGTACGGAGGTCTTAATAGATAAGTAAAGTTGCTACTCGAGCGTAATTAATATTGTCTGAGGCCTTGTGACATACTCTTTTGTGGATTTCGGACACTTACGTATTTAGTTTATATGAAAGAGAAACGAAAATATTTCCAGTTTCTCTTTTGTTAATATTTTTAAATTTGTAAAAAGTAAACAGATTTTTTAATCGGTATTTAATTTTTAGTCAAAATTTCACATTAACAACAGTTTTATATTAAAAAGTTCAATTAAAACGAATGATCTTCAGATTATCAAATATGGATATTGACCTTACACATTTACAGAGAAAATGCAGCGAAATCCTCATATAGTGAGTTTTTGTAGACCAGACCAGTATGCTGTAAACATAAGGATTTATACACTTCTTTGTTTATATTCTTAATATATAATCGTCTCTTAGTATATCATATACTTCTTTGTTTAATTTAAAGTAAAATAACTTGCCTGAATAGCGTAACTGCAAGCTTTGTAAAGTCTTTGTACGCTGATTTCGCCTTATCGTCTAAAACGTTGGGCTGTATTAGTTTTGTTCCAGTGCTTTCTAAACCTTGTCGTTGTACGATAGGAGCTGCAAAAAGGCAAAAACCAAGTATAGCACAACTGAGAAATAATTTCAATCATGGAAATAATAATGTAAATAAAAATTTAAAAACTAAAGAGGTTCTCAGGCACTAAAATCATATAAAAAATGAAGATTATTACCATCGATGCTGAGAGACTTCAATATTTTTTAATATATAAGTTATTTTCTGGTAAATAGTTCATTTCATTTATTACATTCAGTTGAACATTTATAATATGAATGTAAGACATTAACACTGAAGTCACCTAAAAATGCAAAATGTGTTAGATATTGTTTAATACTGCTTTCAACGAATTCTTCCGAATTTTCTGTCATAAGAGTGTGTGATATTAATCATAATCATTCTTCTATTCATCCGAATTTAAACTGCCTGAGTTTCAGTAAAGCTTTTAATTCAAAGAAGAAGCTAAGCACTAATTTGACAGCCAATCCCTCTGAATGAAACTCAGTAAAACCATCAGCATAGGAAACAATTCTGTTTTGTTGATAAACAATCTATACGGCAGAAGAAAAGATCCTGAAGTTTTCAGAAATGTCTCCTGAAAGCAAGTGAATGAAGCTGTTTTGAAAAAAAATTATAAATCAATGACTTTTAGCCTGTATGCTTTTTTCATTCACATGATAAAATAACTCAATTTAATCCTCAGGAAGAACAATCATACCCACAAATAACTGCATAAAATTTTAAAAAAAGGACGAAAATACAAAAAAAGTCTAAAGAACCACATTTTACTCTAAAATTCCGCACTAAAGAAAAAAAGGAAAAAGAAGGAGCAAAAATAAAGGTCTACCAGACTCTAACACAAAAAACATGCTTATCTTGTTTAACTTCTATACGAAAGAGACATTTCGGCCGAAAAATTTGTTCAAGACTTCTTTTCTTTTTAAGACTTTTTTGAACTTACATAGCTCAAAGGATCTGCTACGTATAGTGATTTGTAGTTGCTGCACTAACTGCACACAAAACTAACTGCACACAAAATCGAAAATTGAAGAATGCAACATCCAACATCCTTGTTTCTTTAGCTTCGGTAAACAATCCACGAAGGTCTATAAAACGCTATTCATTTTTGTATAACTATTTGATTCCTTTGTAAAATTCATCTTTTGGAATGTTGTTTAAATGAGCAACTAAACGCTATAGCTATTCTTTGCTCAGCTTTCGAAACCATGACGGCAGATGTTCATTGGATCACAGCAAACGACTGACTGTATAAATTCCATTCATAAGATGCTAACATTTTAGGAAAGTTGAAATTTCTTAGTAATATATGCTGTCAATTATTATTTAGCAGGTTTGCCGAAATTGATTCAAAAACTAGTCTTAAAATTTTGTAGACTTACTGCGTGTATGAAAAACTCTGACATCGAAGGAAAAATGTTTTTATATTTGTAAATTTTGCTTTCATGAATGAAGAATCGCTGAATAAACTTAACTAGCCTAAAAAAACTCAGAATTACTTAACAAACCTTAGAAGTTTATAAGCATGAGGGTACTAATTATATACCTACAGTAATGAAAATGTTGATAATTTTCTACATCCTGTTAAGAAAGAAAACGAATGAACGTCTTCATGATCAATTTGGAATAGCATTATATTTAGAGTATTCCTTAATCCCTTAATGCCTTTTTAAGAAAACTAAATGGGTATTTAAATTCTAAATTTTTTGACACATCTAATCAATCTCTTCCGAAAACCTTGGTGAGGAACACTAGCTAGCGCGAAGCAATTGTGGCAGTTTCATTTACTTCACAATAATAACAAATACAGAATTCTTTATAATTTGTAAATGAAAATAGTTTTTTAGTGTTAGTAATACCTTTAACAACTACGGTATTTTCTGTATTCTATACAAACAATACTGATGTAAGTACTGACACGTAGAGGATTTCATATGGTAAAACGTCCACCTTAAAGCTGGGAATATCGATGTACGCAATACAGTTTTCTAGATGTATTTTCATTTCCTCGTAATATTCTGTCTATTTTGTGTGTGTGTATTTTACTAAAAGAGTACATACATATACTGTACTAAAATTATGTGTTTGTGTATTGATTTATTTGTTAATGTTTAGGCATGTGCTCAACACTGCGCTATTATTTGATAAATCTTAGCGGATATAAAAAGTACACACAAATATACAATTACATGGGAACGCCAACTTGTTTAATCACCACATAATTTAAGGATTAAATTTAATTTACTTTTAAATCTTTGGGGAAAAGGAGAGAAAACTAACATCTCTGGGGTTAGGCATTTCCTACTGAGCCATGGAGCCTCATTTAAGACAATTTGCCATTTTTTTTAACTTAATTGAACTCATCACCTTTTTTTTAACTCTCTTTATATATATATATATTCAGAAATACCTCTAATTACATTCTTTATTTTATATATCAGTACCATTATTTTCTTTACAAAGGGACATCGAGGTCAAATGGGGAGATCCGGAATGAAGGGATCGCAAGGAGAAAAAGGTGAAAGAGGCGAGAAAGGAGTACAAGGACCACCTGGAATGAAAGGCGATCCAGTGAGTTTTGAAGATTATTATTCATTAACATTATTGCACACTCAAAATATACTTAAAACTCTTGTTAACACTATTGGCTTAATAACCAATTATTTCATTTACCAGTTCAATTATTCCGTTTGCATACAATTCTAAAACAATTACAGTTGAGGTATAATACGGGTATGATGTAAAACTTTTATTTCAGGGCCCACCTGGCATGGAAGGACAGAAAGGAAATGATGGACCCCCTGGGCAACCTGTAAGCAAATATCAACAGTTTTTAACTCACGTAGACTTCTAAAAATATCTATAAAGATTACACTGTAATTATCTTTAATATTTTTAGGGTTTGGAAGGACCGCCTGGACCAAAAGGAGCTCAAGTAAGTTTGTGTTTGATATTCCTTTATGGTATTTGATGCTACACTGCATTATATGCGTTTACTTATTTATATTTTTACTTCTTAATACCGTATTATTTCAATTTTAAACCGTAGCAGTATTTTAAAACATAATAAAAAATAGCAGTCCAGCAGGATTTTAAAATAGAAAAATTTAAATAATAATATAACAAGTAGGCGCTCTCAAATTTAAGTCCAGTAGGATTTTAAAATTAGAAAAATGGAAAAATAAAAATTATTTTGTAACAGGTATTAAAAAGTAACGAAGACAAATCGTTTCTAATATAAAAATTTTAACTAATATAATAATTTACTAAGAATCTTCTTAATATCTATGATGGTAAAATTGTAGAGACATTAGGTTATTTCGAAGCAGGAGAGATGAAAAATAAGCAAGGCCTTCGCCGGGAATCGAACCACGGACCTCTGGAATACGCGCCCAGCGTGCAGACCACTGCACCACGAAGGCACGCTAAGAAGGCGGCAGAAATACCTTATAAAATATTCGTTTTTAACTTAAACCGCAATCTGATATTACGAATAAGAAAATCTGAATAAAAATTTCGGCGTAAATTTGAAGCAGTATAGTGTATTCACTTTTCATTAAAATTTCTTCATGAATATTATCGAGTACATATTTTGCAAGCATTTATCGTAATTTCTTATATATTTATTTGTTTACTGTGTACGAGATGCATAGCAAGATATAAATTACTAATAATTTTAATATATTAAATAATTTAATATAAATTATTAAAAATAAATAAATAATAATATTAAATAATAATAATGAACAATAAATAAATAAATAAATATTAATTAATAATACTAAATAATTTAATGTATTCTCCTTTTTATTATTTTAACTTGGAGTAGAGTTCATAAAATTGCTTGATACAAGTATTTATATAAGATCTCGAAATTTTAAGCATGTTTTAACTAAACTAATTTGCACGTTTGCTATTTAAAACCCCAGAAATGTTTTGTTGCTCATTTATTGTAATATCTCTAATTGAAATCACCCAGCTTATAGTTTGTACATCACATATCAAATGTGAAAAGAAAATTTTGCATTTTCGTTTTATTTTTCCTCTTTGTTACAGAAAATATTGCATTTAGAAACCTGGAAACCGTTTTTCTGGGTAAATGAGGAGGCTTCAAAACTTCTTTGTAATCTATTCTTCTTGTTATGTTTTCAAAAATTTTAAAAAGCTGTGGTTTATATGAATTTGAGAACGTGACTTACGGAGACATATGTAGATATTAGTCGAAAAGCTGTTGTCGTTTTACCTCCTAAATAATTATTAACGTTCTTTCTTATTCAAGTGCTTTTAAAAACAAGTCCCCGAAATTCTGGAGATAATAGAAGATAATGCAGTTAAACTTGTACAAACTCCTAAGAAGAAGAAGTTGCACAAAGATAAATCGTAATAATACAGCATTGTAGGGTCAAAAATGCCATCCTCATATGCTAGTGCTTAGAAAGAATAAGACCTGAAAGATTGGTATTTAAGAGGATAAAATGCTTTTCATTATTTACAAGACCATTTTAAAATTCATTGGGGTTACGGCAGATATTCCAAACTGAGACTATGAATTTCAGTACACCATTGACAACGTCAGCGTATCAAATAATGAAAATTTTGAAACTTTCGAAGGTACTACAGAAATGCGTGCTACAAGATTCTTCGCAATTTCACCATAGGAATCGTACGCTAGTCCTTTATTATAACCTCAGAAATATTTAAGATATTAAGTCCAGTGATTTTACAAACCATGAACGGGAACTCCACATCTGGTCGGTCCACTAATATGGTGTTTAAAGTTTAAATGATGATGAACGCATGAAAGTAAGATTTCTGACCCCGCATTACCAAATGGTTCGATTTGCCTTTGTGTAACTCCCAACTCCTATGCAAATACTCAACTGAATCACCGTGTGAATCACTTGTAAACATTCATTTGATGGATTTCTCAATGTACACTGCTCGACATTGAAAATGCAAAACCAAGAAGGAGTGGTCAGAAAATGATGAAATTTGGAAAAAAGACAGAAACAGCAAGCAGCAATAAGTGATCTTTATTTCAAAATAATTAGTAAGAATACAGAGCGAGAACGGCGTCGGCTCAGTAAGATCCGCTGCGGAAAGCGATGCACGAAGGAACACGTCTAGGCATAGAGTCAATCAGAGTGCAGATGGTGTCCTGAGGGATGGCTCTCCATTCCTTTTCAACCATTTGCCACAGTTCGTCTTCTGAACGAGGCAGGGGCAGTGTCTGCAAACGGCGTCCAATCACATCCCACACATGTTCGATTTGTGACAGGTCAGGAGAGTACGCTGGCCAGAGAAGCATCTGTATACCTTGCAGAGCATGTTGGCAGATGCGAGCACTGTGTGGTCGGGCGTTATCCTGCAGAAAAATTGCAATTGGCAGCCCCTGAAGGTACGGGATTGCCAGCGGCCGCAGTACATTATCCAAATATCGTTGGGCCGTCATAGTGCCCTGAATACGAACTAAAGATAACCTGGAATCGTAGGCAATAGCGCCCCAAACCATTATGCCACGTTGTCGCGCAGTGGGGCGTTCCACAGTTACTGCCGGATTAGATCTGTCTCCACGTCGATGCCACACACGTTTGTGGCGATAGTCAATGGATAAAAAGAAGCGTGACTAATCTGGAAACACGACGTTTCGCCATTCTGTCATCCACATCGCTCCAGTCCGGCACCATTCTAAAAGTTGCCGTCTATGCTGTGGGGTCAATGGCAGTCTTCTTAACGGACGCCGTGAGTGCAGGCTACGTTCAACCAACCGACGGGAAATGGCTCTTGTCGACACGGGAACATCCAGGGTATCTTGCATATGCTGCAGAATCGCGGTACAAGTGACTTGTGGGACCGCCACAGCTTGTCGGCGGATGCGTTGATCCACACGTGCTGACGTCACTGTGGTTGCACCTGCAGCCCTTCTTCCCACATTCCTTGTTTCAACCATGTTCGCCATAGCCGATGCACCGTGCTCGCATCCATGTGGGTATCAGCTGCGATTTGGCGTAAAGACCAACCCGTTCTTCTCGGTCCGATCACCATAGCACTCGTAAAATCGTGTATCTGCTGGAAGTGCCTTCGTTGATGGCGGCCTGGCATTCTTTCCTATTACACATATCCTCCGGGACAAAAACCAAATTTCTTCGATAATTCGTCTTGCAGAAAAAACGACACGAATATTGCCCATTTCCCACGTTCCTTCCCTTATATCTTACTTCACGTGCGTCGGAGAGCTGCGTATTTCACATCATTCGCATAACTCAGTGACGTGCGTCTACTCTAAAATTTGCATAAATTTCTGACCACTCCTTCTTGGTGTTGCATTTTTAATGTCGAGCAGTGTACTTCCATGAATATCTATTAAGCACAATGAATTTCTAAAAAATAAGCAAGAAGGTAGTCATTAATTTCCACAAATCATGATAAATTTAAACATGAAGTGATTTCGTCATTTGACTATCGGTTTCCGGCGTTGGTTATTATGTAATTTACCAGAACTGTAAATTAAATTATCAGTCATCATCAGCTATTATTTCTAGGAATGTGTGTGTATACTCACTGATATGGAATACTAAAAGAGGAAGCATGAAATCTCGTGTAATTTTGCTGGATGATTGTTCATTAAAAGCCTGGGCTGGCAATATGTGATTAAAGAAATGAATTTCATAGAACAAATTGATTTAAAAACGATTATAAATATGAATTGTATTTATGGCCCATCATGCTATAAAACTATACTCATTTTTCAATTTCAATTTTTTTGCAGGGTCCAACTGGTCCTAAAGGAGATGCTGGCCCATCGGTAAGTGGAATGTTTACTTATTCTGAGAAAAATTCTCAGAAATAATTCTTAGGTATTATACTTTTCCTTTCCATTCGCTAATTCTTTGTGAATAAAACATGTAACAAAGATAAACGGAAGATACCATTACATGGAACCATTACAGTATTTTAACCCATGCGTTGTTAATGCAATTTATGTACCTAATAAAAACCATAGGTTAAATCATAATGAAAAAGGTAGAATAGAATAAAAATAGAATAAAAAGAGGAGGTAAAAGAAATATAGTCCCGTAAAGAAAATGCAAAAACACTTAGTTTAAGAGAATACATGAAGTATTTTGTATATTAAGCTCTTATATCAGTTTCCTATTTGTATTGATAAAATCTAAATTCTTATTCAACACATAAGTGTGCTAAATTATTCTTTCACCTATATATCAGTTATTTAAAATACAGCAGAACGTTTATTTTCCGCAACGATTTGTTCCTTTTTTCATTTAGCGGGAAAGTTCAATCAAAGTATGTTTATATCCCCGTTTTCCATATGTTCATTTCAATTCTAATGTTAAAATTCTGCATTCGTGTGCGTTTTTGCTATTCTCATAAGAGAAAATTTCAGTGTATCTGTCATAATATTTTCCAAGTATCAGATACACTGAAATTCTTTTTTCAATTCAGTTAGATTTAAAGACGCAGTTAGACGGAAAGCTGTTTCACTAAAAATGAGTTTAAGCTGCAATAACTAATTGAAAAAGGTCATAGATTTACAATTTCAGTGATCCCCAGTCTTAAAGTACTTTTGTTAAAACTTTAACTGTGTTGGAATGTATAATTGCATTCAGATCTAGGCTAAAGGAAACGTTTTAAGACTGAATCTGCTATATAGAATCAGATCACTCAACGGATTCTACAACCTGAATTGCAATTTTACAGCATTTTAAGAAAGGTTCAAGAACATGAAATAGATTATTTTGTGTCATTTCTTTATGCGCTTCGACCACAGCATTTATTTTTCACTTCTTCGTCTGAAAACCCCCATTTCTACGCAACTGTTGTTTCACTTATAAAAAGAGCCCGGAAATCATTTAGAGCAGCGATTCTCAATCGGTAGTACGCGTAACATAGTGGTACGCAACAGAAAAATAGGTAAACGCAAACAATCAAAGTATTTTTAAATATTAAATTCAAAAATTAAATATCCCAACATCCTTTTCTCTAACACTCGTAAATTTCTGCGATCGGAGCTTTGTTCAAGGTCAATAGCCGCTCATAGATTTTTAGCAAAATAATCCGTTTTTATTTTAACGAATACCCTTTTAGGCGTAGATATATAAAATATTGTCACAAATGATGTTTTTAAAAGAAGTAATAGAAATGGATTTTGCATTTAATCGGAAATAAAAAAATAAGTTCGTGTAAAACGATGATAGTATCTTATCGAATCTTTTAGAGTTGATCGATTTATTAGCATGTCCACACTTTATGCCGCCACCATTTTCGGATTTCTATTGCCCTAGTTTGAATTAGAATCACTTTTTACGTCGATTTACTGTCTCTAACAAAAGATATTTTGTTTTGTTGCTTTGTATTCCTTATTTTTCTACGCAATTTGAGAATATCATCGTTTGTTTCTGAAGCACTCCTAATTTATTGTGCATTTAAATATTTGTGAAAAATGATAAAACAAACCTAGATCTTCAAGATGGAAAAATGGCTAGGATTGACTGAGCGATAAAATGATGATTCACAGCCGATGGATCCACGGCAATCTACTAGCATTAAAAATACTGAATAGAAAAAAATGTTTATAGAAAATATAATGAAGTTATTTATCATCATATTTGGAATGGAGATGAAATGGATCCTCAACCTCAGTGTATTGTTTGAACTATTATCCAATCAAAGTATGAAACCATCGTATTTTTAAAAAATTCTTTATTCTAAGCCTGCCAATTTAATGGATAAATCTGAAGAATATTTTATGAGGACATTATCGGCGTTCGAAAATAGTAAACAGGTAATGAAAGGTTTTGTTACTTCAAGTGGAAACGCTTTGGGAGCTATTTATCTAATAAACCTAAGAATTGCCAAGATTGGGCAGGCTCACACTGTTGGGTAGTAACCTTATATTACCAGCAGCTAAAGATATCGTTTCAATATTATTCAACAAAAAAGCTGATAATAAACTTAATAATATCCGTTATCAAATGATACAGTAAGTCGACGAATTCATGAAATGGCTAAATCCATAAAAGAGATACTTATTCAAAAAAACAAAACACAGTATTTCACATTGCAATTGGATGAGAGTACTGATAAAACGAAATTTATTCAATTATTAATTTGCATGCGTTTACGGCCGAAGAGTATTTATTTTGTGAATGTCTTCACGGTACAGCAACTGCAGATGAAATGTTCAAAGTAATGACAATTTTATGTCTGGCAATGATATTCTTTTAAATAAGTGCATTGCCGAATGCAATGACGGAGCTCGGGCTTTAACAGGAAAGCATTCCGATGTTATTTCTCAAATAACGGAATTTTTCCCTGAAACTAAATTTTTTCATTGCTTCATTCATAGTGAAGCTTTTGCAGCCAAAACAATCCCCGAAGACCTGTAAATCGTTTTGAGTTAAGCTGTAAAAATTGTTAATTTTATTAAAAGCTGAACTTTAAATTCAAGAATATTTGCGATTTTATGCCAAGAGCTGGGCAGCGAATATGGAAACTTTTATTAAGGTGGTTATACAAAGGTGAAGTTTTAAATCGTCTTTTTAAACTTCGATCAGAAATTCAGATTTTTCTCTGCGATTCAAAATTTGAATTGCAAAACTGTTTATTTAGTGAATTATGAAATTAGCATAGTTAGCTGATATTTTTGGAAAGTTAAATGAATTAAATTTAGGATTGCAAGGACAAAGTGTTACAATTTGTTTATCATTACAGATAAAATAAATGCAATGATAAAAAAACTCGGGCTAATAATCAAAGAATTGGATAATAATATTTCAAGCTTTTTACCACTTTTAGAAAGTTTTCTAACCGAAAATAATTTGAAAATAAAAGAAGAATTAGCATCCGACATCGTTTTTCATTGATAAATAATTTTAACATGTACATTCCTGAGGATTATAAAATGGAAAATTGGATTAGAAATCCATTTTGTTCAAATGTATCTGAAATTTTATCTCGTGAAGAAAAAGAACAATTGATATAAATTTCCTGTGATCGAACTCTAACTGAGTATTTAAAAAATAACACAGTTCTTAACTTTCAGCTGAACCGAGATAAAGAATTTAAAGCATTTCAAAATAAAGCTATTAAATTTTTATTGCCTTTTTGCACAACCTGTTTGTACGAAAAGCAGTTTTATTCCATGTTAAATTTGAAAAATAAATGCAGAAGAAAATTGAAATGGATCATAATTTACGATTAAAACTAAGTGAAATATCGTATACGCTCGTGTAATTTCCGCGCTCATGTAATGTCCGCATTGCAACTTTGCAGGTGAAATTTATGTAAAAAAAAGTGACCCACACAAAGTCCGCTCCCCAAAAACTAAAGAATTTCTTACTTTAAAATATTTTTTTAGCATCACCTTTTTCCCTTTAGTGAAATAATATTAGTCAATAAACATCTTTAAACAAAGAATATGCATTGATTGGCGCCGGGATGAAAAGCAGAGACTTTCCTTGCATTCTTGTGCAGCTGTTATTCAGTCATAGCATCGGCGCCAGCAATCCACTCGGCAGACGCGATAATAAATAAAGGCAGTCCAAACAGGTTTTCACGACACTGGCTTCCAGGAAATACTGTTTTGTAATGAAATGACTTTCCCCTCCATCCTCCTTGGAGTATTCGCATATTTCAAGCTTTCTCTTTTCATTCATAGTATCATTTGGAATTCGTAGTAGTTAGCAAATAGCGTGCTTGAAATGGGAAAATACAATAGCTATACAGTGGATGAAAAGTGTAACATTGTAAGTTTCTGTGACCTACAATATTATCTGGTGAATCCGTAACAAATTAAATAACTCATTAAACCTTATGAACATTTTTGTGATCGTAATTAATGAAAAATATGCGTTGTGATTTTAAAATTCCGGGACCGTGCTAGTTAAGGATCAAACAATAAGATAAATGTAATTCACAAATATGAACATAATATAAATTTCCAAATTAATACCATGCTTATTAAGTCTTCTCATGTCAAACGGAATTTCACATTAATTTATCTACTATACTTTCATATTTAATTTAAATTTTGGTACCAAAGAACAATTATCATAAACCATACTTATTTACCATTCAACACGAAAGCTATTAAGGAAATTGTATAAAGAATGCACATTTTTTCTCTCTAGTTTTTAACCCCTTAACTGCCGCGGGCGTATATATACGCCTTGCTCAGCCGATGCGTTAACTGCCCCAGATGCGCCCAGATGCGCAGCCGTTGCGTTAACTTTGCGAATAATTTTAGGTGTAGCAGCGCAAAGCAAATGATAGCAGTTTGGAAGGACGTATATATACGCCTGGGGCAGTTAACGCATCGGCTGAGCAAGGCGTATATATACGCCCGCGGCAGTTAAGGGGTTAAGGAAGGAATTTAACATCTTGACTAATAACAATTTCAAAATTAAAAATTTACATTCTTTATTGAAGGAGCTTTGAGTTCAAATTATTTTTCGAAGTAAAAGGATGCAGGATGAAGACGTAATTACAGTTCATTCGAAATTAATTATAGTCTACTAAGTAAATAATATTTCCTTCTATCTCATAAGAAAAGGGAACAAACAGAAATTTATCTGGTGCTTGACAATCTTGAAGTGAAAGGAACAGTTTATACCCAAGCGCCATCACTGAAATCCTAAACTAAGCCCAAGTTATGTGTCACATTGACTCTCAGAATCGGAAGTAGAACAGAAGTTGATCAAGTCCTCTCTTCACATTTAGCTTACTACTAATATATCAGCTTGCATTATTGGAATTAAGTCTGAACGTCACTCTACGAGTATCATA